GAGACCAATATGAAGGTTGGCGTCCGAATAACCACTCAAATGAGGACTTTAATGGTGCAAAAAGAAAGGTGCCACTTAATACTGTGACACATCAACTGCGATGATTCCACACTATATTGTCAGGAATGCATCATCGTGATGCACATGCAGAGCCCCTATCACCATTTGAAGGTAAGTACATCACAACTATTCCACCATGCAATCTGATGCGCTGGCTGGCAGGTTTGAGTACAAACACATTTCTGACGCAAGACTCTCAAGGAGGCTGGTCTCCATATTCAGGTCGGACATCCATTTGGCACACGCTGTCACAATCCTGAGTGAGCCTGGGGGGATGACTTCATAGTCATGGATATATCTGGCATTCATAGTGTCGGGCTAGATTTTTGCAACTGCAAGATGGCTCAATCCCACGACATTCAGCTCCTGTGCGCTCGGCTGTTCCCTGCCACAAGCAACAACCCAAAGACTGCTGCAACATTTTGGCTGCTCGAACACTTCCACCTCCTGTCAACCCAGGCAAACGTGTCTGGTTTTCGCTTTTATTCTATGCTTGAGCGATGCACGAATAATACGGGCCTGGACATACCTAAGGTGCAACCTTCCCAGATTTTGTATAACATGCTGAACTCATGTTGCAGCACAGGATCGATACCCTGAGCTGATGCATGTGATGCATCAGTGATGCCACCTCAAGATGCTCAAATGCTTTGGTCGTGGCCATGCTCCTAGTGGAGTGTCAGGGACTACACCCAGCAGTTATGCTGTAGAATGTCCAGCATGTCCTCACCCTAGCAAGAACCTCTCTGAGGATTGGAAGGAAGCTTCACCCAAGTGCAGGTATGTGCATCCATTAACTTTTCAAACATGCTTTAACGATGAGTTATTGAGAAAGGTGGCTCTATCGACTATTTCTCGGCATGGATGTGAACTTCCAGCTCAAGAAAAAGAACATTTTGTCTGATGCTGCCGATTCAGGACTCAATACAGGAATTGCCTTCTTTGTTCAGGAAAGCAATACAAGGCACATATCGAGATGTACGGCAAGGTCATCAAGGAGGAAAGCAGTACCTGCAACAATCACGATGCCGTGAAACTCACAAATTTGAAGGGTTCTCAAGGTACGGCAGCAAGTGGGATGGGAACAGTTGAATGTTCTCATCATAACATGAAGTGGCTGTGTTCTGTCGGAGACCTGCAGAAGGGAGAGTGGTATGCTTTTCAAACGATCATAGAGCCTGTCATGTGTTTGACCAGTATTTCTTAGGTATGTGAATATGGATTATTTTTTTTAGAGCAGCATACAGCAAAATACCCCAATCTCTATCGTGATATCATACGACATTGCATGTCAGTGGTCCATCCACTTTTGTGAACACATGGCATCATATGAACACCATCTCGATGGATGCACCATCACCTTTCTCATTCCAAAATTTCATCTACCCACATATCAAGAGTTGTGTCACCTTTAGTACTCATTCAATATCACACTGCAAGTTGGACGCACAGATGGTGAAGCTGCGGAACGAGGTTGGATGGCCGTTAACCCCTTTGCTTCCAGTACCAAGGAGATGGGTCCTGGTTCCCGTCGAGACTTGTTAGATGACATCTTTAGTGCCTACAACTGGAGCAAGGTTACTTGCATAGGTGCATCGTGGTGAGATACTCTAATAGATATCATTTAATCCATTTGAACAGTGGAATCGATGCTCACCAAGATAAAGAATGCGATTGAAGAGTGCAGCACCCATGTTGCTGCACTCTATGAGCTTTCAGCAGCTCTTCCTACAGTGCACATAACAGAGTGGATGGAGGCCATCACCACATGGGAGAGAGATTCATCCAAGCCAAATCCTTTTCAGATTACGCAAAGCAGTGAGTACACAAAATCCTTAAATGGACATTCTCAATACTGATGGCTCATTTATTGCCAAGCTATTATGCAAGCAAGTGTATGCCTTCAATTAGCAGAGGAGGATGCAGTGCAGCTTCGAGATGGTGAGGCCAGCACAGTTCATGATACAATGTCACCAAGCATGGTGATAATGAGTGGCTTGGAGTTGAAGGAGCTTCAGTGAGCTTGCCCATATTTGTTGGTGTGTTTGTTGACATCATATTCACAGGTGTCAATTGCATGAAGATACAGATGAACTAGACTCACACTCCACTGACCTCCAGCATGCAAAGGTGCTCGAGTCAGAATATGCTCCAATGTCACTATGATGCATGGTCGGAGGTTCAGCAGCTGTACATCCCTGCGGTCACGATCTTGCATTCGCAAAACTCGGACAGTACTTCAAACATTGTGCCTCATGCAAGATTATATCTGCCATTGGAGATCCTCAATAGAGTACGATGTGACCCTTTTCTTGTGAACTGCAAACACCATCTGCAGAAGGCACAGGCACATGATGCACTAGAGAACTTACGGTGACATCTTTGTCTATGAAGTCACCTCTACCACATCAAGGATAGATTTATGCGTGGTCAATGCCCTAACATGCATGCACGTGGAATCATCAATAATGTACAAAGAAAAGTCAACACAGATGCCAAGCATTATCGAAAGGCCCACCATGTGGTGGAAGTTGTCAGCATAGTCATTGGGGATCAGACATGGCAGCGCAAGCTGCATCAGCTTGATGACAGAGATATCAGAGGTATGTCTGAAGGTCTGTTCACACAGACTGAGGGCCACCGCACTTTGTCATAGATTTGGCAGAATCCTGGTGTCAGCCCTATCGACAGCAGCAGTGAAGATCAAGGAGTTCAAGAAGGTAAGTAAGAGCTTTTGAACCACTATGCTGTGCTGTGCTGATCACTGCTATAGCACTGCATGTCGAATGGTGCAAAGCACGGGCATGGGCCCATCGATGGTCTGAAGAGTGTCAGTTACTCAAAGAAGAGATGTGGCGTGTTGTGCAGTATCACAACTACCAAGCTGAATAGTGGCTGGGCCTCATAGGGAGAAAGCCTGCCAGCTCAGATGAATACCGTGAGGGCATGGCTGTGTATGCATTTTGTCAAGCTGAGCTACATACGTTGATGGGCAAGTTCTGCGAGAATTCATGGAGGTGAGTTGATGAATGGCTGAAGTCAGGTGTAGTACGTACTACCAATGATGCAGAAAAATGGCACCTCTGATATGTCGCGACATGACATTTCCGCAGTTGTATATTATATTCATGTATATGTACTTCGTCTGACAATCGACATGTTGTGACAGGATTGTTACAACATGTCACCGGTTGTGAACATCATCACTGCTGCATGGTGCAAAGGAGGCAGGAAGAACTGCGAGGGGGATGATGCATCACTCTCACTGCATGGTGCACATGCGGCAAAAATAACTGTGAGGGGGATGATGCATCAAGGCTCAAGTTCTCGATGCATCACTCTCGCTGCACCATGCAGATGCGGTGGAAATAACCACGATCATTCTCGCTATGCTGCAATAATCCAATAATCAAATACTGTACTCACCAGAAATGACAATGTAATGATGGATTATCGATGTCCATAGTAATTGTCAAAGCATACAGATATCACTGTACTGATGGTGAGCCTGGTACATACTTGAGTGGTCAGGGTGGTCAGCTGGCCCAGAGCGAGAGTAATGAGGTAACGAATAAGTGCTAAAGTGCGCAGAAATTGGCATACCTACATTACCAGACAGGTGATATCACATAGTGTAGGACAGGAAAGCACACAAATATTCCAGTTATGGCAAGGACAGAATGATGGGGGGAGGGGGAAAACTGAATTGTGAAGTAGTCAGAGGCGCTGACTGGCTGAGGTGGGAAAAGAGCCCTGATATGGGAAGAGCGGGGATGATGGCAGAAGTGTGGGCTTCATGATGAATAGGGCATGCTGAATCATGGAGGGAGGCTGGCATGTGGGTTGATCAATCATATGCAAGAACCATGTGATGCATCATGGTGGAAGGGAGGAGGTCGGCACGAGAAACTGCAGTACAAAGCAGAGGATGCATCATCAGCTGCTACAATCAGAGCGAAATGATGCATACTATAATGCTATGGCCATGGGGATTGATATAACACCCTGTTGGCTGTGAGGGCAGGGGATGATGAATCACCCTGCCAGGTACAGGTGTGGTTGGGGTGAGAGAGGGTTAGGCCTGGTAGCTTGGAATAGGGCCATTGCATGGAAGACCTGAGCTCAGAAACGGCTTGAAGTGGCTATGTGGTGTTTGCGCGTGATAGAGGAACAAGCCGTTTGGCACGTCCAGATTTTCCACGCTAGAAGATCAGATTTCGTGAGCGTGAAGTGGCTATAGTGAAATAGCATGACTAAAACATCACTCGATGCTAGAAATGGATTGGTGGGTGAGTGGACATGAGCAAGCGGGCAGATGAGGAGGCAAGATGTGATGCGGTAGTGGCACAGATGTGTGACGCATCTCCTTCGGCCATTTGCTCAGTAAGCAAACATCCTTCCCAGTACTCATTGCTCACGCTGTGTATGAATTTCAACCAGTCTGATGATCGCAATGAATTGCGATCACATTCAGCTTCGAACCACGGTGATAAAACCAGTTTACTGATATCGCTTCATGCCTGATCCCATCTATGCTTCTATAGCAGGCGGACGCTGAAGCAGCTTCGCAGGCGCTGTTGTTCCTGATGCATGAAGCGATGGTGTTCATTGTATATGGCGAGGAAACGTGCTCGATTGAGGAGTTGCACTTCACAGACCAAGTGCATGCTCCTGTCAAATTATTTCTATATAGTGGTCGTCCAATCCCAAATGGCTTCATTCTTCAATGCCTTACGATCATGATGGAGATAAGTATTTATTGTCTGGTTGACCCTCTCCTATTCTCAAAGACTTAGGCTAATGCCAAAACGATGCCTGCACCTTTCTCTTGTGAAAATCAAGTTATGCGAAGATTGCAATGCTCTCTGCTCAAAGTCCACTTTGCATTGAACACTACAAAGAGTTCTCCTATGATATGCATGGACGCTGCATGCATGAATGTCCTGCGAAGCAAATACAAGAGGGTGAAGCAGAGAGTGTAGGGACGAGCATACTGAAGGCAGGGCAGGATAATGGCAGCACATGCTGCTTGGTGCATGAAGAACTGACCGTGAACTGAATGCTGACCACAACCGAGAACTTGTTACAGTACGAATACATGAATTGGAGTATACAGCTAAGTGTCCAAACTAGCACCTTGTTTGACGAGGACACGAGCGACAACCCATATCGTGCGGGAGTGCTGAATAGAAGCAGAATGACAGTTTCCTCAAATGCATGGTAAACACATTCACGATAGAAGCAAACTATATCTCAGTCAGTAGTCGATGGGCAATATGAGTACTGTGCGCTCACCTTCATGCTTCTTTGGGCGGCGACCGCTGCCTCGCTCAAAGGACAGAATTGGCGTTAATGAGAGCATAGTCCAATCCAATTCTGCATGGGTGATGTTCAGCTTTGACAGGTGTAAAAATAAGTCCCATCCTCACATGAACAGAGCACGAGATGAGTGCTGCCCGACAGAGACTGCAATGTTATACATGCTGAAAGACAAAGAGTGCGAGCATCTTGACGAGTGTCCGCATCAGCGCTCAGCGGTCACTCAGGCTCCTGCCCATCAAACATGTGCTTGCGAGCTGTGCATAGCCCATCCACATATACCTGGCCCTGCGCACCTCGCACCCCTTTTTCTTTTCTCTCATCCCCATCCTCTCACATCCCCTGCATTCAGACACTTCGTGAAAGCTAAACTTTTGCTACATTCTGTGATTACTGAGAACTTGAACTATGGATACAACTCCTGGAAACATTGATGAACCATGCTCTAAGCCATCCAGTCTTCTGACTGTACCCACCTCAGAGCATTCTGACTTGACTGTACCTGAGTAAATAACATCTTTCATGCACTCAATCTATTTTAGTAATCCAATGAACCTGTGATATCACAGAATCTCAAATATGCAAACTATAGAGGATTCACAGCCAATCCCATCACTTTCAGACCCTCAGATTCTGAATATGCCAGCACAGTGAGCCTTTCTTTGTGTGTAGTCTTACATTTTTGTCATCCATCTGTCAAAACTCTCAAACCCAAATATGTTCACTGCTGTGGGCCTGAGTGGTCTTCTATGAATGGAAGAAGATCAATTTATGTAGGAATTACTGAATTTATTCTATTATCATGCCCAGCATTAACAACCTTGAGCAGAGAAAAATTCAAATCTGAATTTTCTGTAGTGTTATTGAAAACATGTGCCATGTTGAAGGATACAAGTGCTGGATATGTTATGTTTAGCACAAAAATGCTATTGCAGCTCTGCTCATACTATGTAATGAAGGAAACTATTGCACAGCATCATCAGACTTATGCTGGATGACAACAGAGAGAAGGAAGAAGCACTATGGTAGGTGTGCAGCTCCTTCACATGCAAGTCAGATTATTGATTAAAACATACACTGCAACACCACATGAACCTCAATGCATTTATATTGACCATTGATAGTGATGCAGGTCTGTTACAAATGCAAGACAACATTCCAGACAGTTTCACTCGAATTCTAGCATCTTTTGCTGAAGAGCTTCTGAAATGTTATGATAAATCACACTTTGAAGATGACTTAAGAAAGGCAATACTAATAGCAAAGATTGCATTGCAGCTAGTTTCTAATGCTCATAAACACAAGCACATCTATTGTTGCATTCTTGCAGATGCTTTGCAAAGGCACTTTGATCATACTAGTGACCTTGAAGATATTAACCAGGCCATTGCTGTCCAGCTTACATCAAATGATGCTGTAAACAAATCTGTCTATCTCAACAATCTTGGAAGCTTATTCTTGAGCCATTACAAACATTTTGGTGATCTGGCAGATGTTAATCAGGCCATTGCTATGCTGCAGAATGCAGTGCAGCTTACACCAGATGAACATGCAGACAAGCCTATCTGTTTTAATAATCTTGGAAACTCCTTCTTGAGATGCTATGAATATCTTGGCAATCTTGGAGATGTCAATCAGGCTATTGCAACACTGCAGAATGCAATAGAGCTTACACCAGATGGTCATGCAGCCAAGCCTGGTCACCTCGGCAATCTTGCAAACTGCTTTTAGAATCGCTTTAAACATCTTGGTGATCTTGAAGATGTTAATCAGGCTATTACTCTTCAGCAAAATGCAGTGCAGCTCATACCAGATGATCATGCAGCCAAGCCTAGCTATCTCCACAATCTTGGAACCTTCTTCAAGATTCGTTTTGAACATCTTAGCAATCTTCCAGATATTGACCAGGCCATTGCTATGCAGCAGAATGCAGTGCAACTGACATCAGATGGTCATGCAGTAAAGCCTCTCCTTTTTAACAACCGTGAAAACTCTTTTTTAATATGTTTTAAATATCTTGGTGATTCTGCTAATGTTAATCAAGCCATTGCTATGCTGCAGAATGCAGTACAGCTCACACCAGATAAGCATGCAGACAAGCCTGGCTATTTTAATAACCTTGGAACCTCCTTTAGGAGTCGCTTTGAACATCTTGGCAATCTTACAGATGTCAATCAGGCCATTGTTATGCAGCAGAATGCATTGCAGCTCACACCAGATGGTCATGCAGACAAGCCAGCCTATCTCAACAATCTTGCCAACTCATTTTCAAAACGCTTTGAATGTCTTGGCAATCTTTCAGATATTAAGCAAGCCACTGCTGAGGGACAAAATGCAGTACAGCTCACACCAGATGATTGTGCAGACAAGCCTGTCTACCTTATCAATCTTGGAAACTCATTTATGAAATGCTTTAAGCATCTTCACAATCTTGCAGACATGGACCAGGCCATTGCAGTGCAGCAGAATGCAGTGCAGCTTATGTCAAATAATCATGCAGGCAAGCCTGTACATCTTAACAGCAACCTTGGAAGCTCTTTTTTAATTTGCTTTCAGCATTTAAATGATTTTTCTGCTTGTGAAAAGGCCATGGTTCAATTTTCAATAGCCGCTCAGTCAACCACTGGCTCCTTTTCTGACAGGTTCTATGCTGGTCAAAAATGGGTTCTCTCTGCCTATTATTTGCAACATCCATCCCTTTTTAAAGCCTGTAATGTTACATTGACTTTGCTTTTAAAACTGGCATGGCTGGAATTGCCTTTCTCAAGTTGCTATAGTGTACTTACTCAGGCAGCACACTTTGCTAGATATGCTGCTTCTATAGCAATTGGATATAAAGACTACAACACTGCTGTTGAATGGCTTGAGCAAGGACGATCAGTTATCTGGAGGCAGCAATTGCAGCTTCATACTTCCTTTGATGACTTGCAGGTCAAGCATTTAATCCTTGCAGAGAAATTTTTTCATGTCTCAAAGCAGTTGGAACAAGCAAGCTATGAACACGATATGATGAAAGCAGAACAAAAATCTTTAGAGAAACAAACTCAACGGCACTATGCATTTGCACATGATTGGGAAGCTTTGCTGGTTGAAATTCAATCTAAGCCAGGATTTGAACAATTTTTGATGCCAAAGAAGCTGGTTCAGCTTTATGAATGTGCACACTCTGGGCCAGTGATCATTCTTAACTGCAGTGTATGGAGTTGCTATGCCTTGATTATCATGACTGGCTCAAAGAATGTGATTCATCTTCCTCTCAGTGACCTCACATATAACAATGCATCTGACCTTGAAAGATCACTGAAGGAATTGCTTAAGAAGAATGGTCGTGTCATTTCTAGCATTGCTGATAGAGATGATATGCCTACAAGTGCAATGCCAAATGAAAGTTTTCACTATTCTGGCCACACTATCTTTGGTACCATTGATAGAGATGAGAGGGGTGCAAGAATGGTATCTTATATGCATTGCTCCTACAAATCATATGAGAGCATACTCTCTGAGCTGTGGTCAAAAGTTGTCAAGCCAGTACTAGATGCACTTGCTTATCCAGTATGTTTTATTTTTATTTTTGTTCTTTTTCTTCACACTAATGATTGAATCAGAAACAAAGTGCAACATGTGAAAATCTGAGCCGCATTTTTTGGTGTCCAACAGGCCCTTTGACATTTCTTCCCATCCATGCTGCAGGCATCTATGGAACAGCTGAATCAGATGTCAAGGTGTCAGAATTTGTTATATCATCATACACTCCCACTCTCAGTGCACTCATCTTGCCATCTGAAAGCATTGTTCAAGAGAACATTAATCTACTGGCTGTGGCTCAGCCAGAGTCAGATGGATGTGTCAAACTTCCAGGTGTTCAACAGGAAATCAATGAAATCAAGAAATTCTTAGCAGGCTGAACTGCAAATCAGTTTCACTTGTGGAATCTGATGATGGAACAGTGGATGATGTACTGGAGAAGCTGAAAAAGTGCAGCTGGGCTCATTTTGCATGCCATGGGATTCAAGACCTGAAGAATTCCACTAATAGTGGACTGCAACTTGCCAATGAGAAACGCTTGATGCTGTCAAACATTCTCAAAGTGACACGTCCTCATGGAGGATTGGCCTTTTTACCAGCCTGTCAGACAGCCACCGGTGACAAGAAACTGGCAGATGAAGCTGTTCATTTGGCTGCAGGAATGCTGTTCATTGGCTATGGTGGGGTAATTGCAACAATGTGGTCAATTCTGGATGATGTTGCCCCTAAAGTTGCAGAAGATTCTCTGATGATAGCCTACCAGATTATAGACAGGCTGCCAGGGCATTGCATTATGCAGTAGAAAAGTTGCAACAGGATCCTAACATGTCATTCAAGTTCTATTCGTGGCTCCCTTTTGTACACTTTGGTTTGTGACGCGGCGTAGCTATTTGATGTTGCAGGTTGTAGCTCTTTCGTAGTGTATGTTCATGTGATTGACTGTACGAGTATGTATATTATGGAAAATATCGTGTACAAATGATGTATGAGGAACTGCTTAATGTCGAGAACAAAAAGTGAAACGGTATGGTCAGCAGCCGTCGCGCGCAGTCCGAGACCGTAGCGCAAATCACCATTCGGACGGCTCCGGCCATGTATTGCATTACAGTTCGGACACGATCAGTCGAATAATAATCCTCGGCTAGATACAGGAGCAGAGCACTACAGAGGCAGTCACGGTACGAATTACAGGAGACCTCCATCAGTATGTACACATTATATAGAGACCAGGCCATTCGTCAGCATGGGCAGAGGGATGCATGTGCGTCTAGAGCTATACATTGAGCTTGAGCGCGAACGCGAGCGGGAGAGTTGGAAAAAAAGAGAGCCATGTGAACGACGTATCCAACCAACCACCGGAAATAAATGCCAAAACCACAACCAACCGCATCCGCGCACCCACAAAGTTCACAAAGTCCACGAAATCACGAAATCACTCCTCCCCCTCCCACCTCCTCTCCAACCCCACCCTCCCATCCCCATCCCCACTAACATGCAACCACGCCTCCAACCTTCTCCCCAACTCCCCTCCCCGCCCCCCACAAATATCCCCCGCACGCACCAACTCCTTCTCCCTCTCCTTCTCCACCTCCACCACCTTCTTCACCAACGGCACCGGCGGGTGCCCGGGCACCACCACCGCCACCACCCCCTTCTTCAATCCACCGCCACCACCGCCAGGGCCGCCGCCGACCCCCTTGGCATTCCCCACATGCCTCGCATCCTCCCCATCACTCGCGCTCTCCGCCAGCGTCGGCGACCCCGACACAGGCGAGCCCGGCCAACTCCCCACCGGCGTCCTCTCCCCCTCGCCCTCGCCCTCACAGCTCTTGAACCACTTATCCTCCTCCTCCTCCGCTCCCAAAATACTCTCCACCAGCCCCTCCTCCCACCCGTCCCACTCGAGGCACCGATGCGCCATGCGCAGCCGCGCGCCGCCCGCCTCGTGGTGCAGCCACTCCCCCGCGACCCTTGCGAGGTCCGTCGGCCGCCCGTTGATGAGGGCGGGCCAGGGCCGCTGGGCGAGCTTCTCGACGGTTGCGCGGAAGATCTTGGCGGTGAAGGGGGAGGATTGCAGGAAGGTGGGGACGTGTGCGCATGCCCAGAGTGGCCGGGTCGTCGTTGCTTCCCAGTCGATGATGCACGCCTGCACACGCCGTCAGCGATCGTCAGCAAGGGACGGAACCGAGCACTCACGATCTTGGAGTGATCCTGCTCATCCACAAAAACATTCTCCAGGCTCAAATCATGACAATCAATCCCAAACTCCTCCGCCTCTCCTTCCTCCCGCTCCTCCTCCCTCCTAACCCCCAACCTCTCCATCAACTCCACAACCCTCCCCATCTCCTTCTTCACCATCTCCTCCCGCTCCCTCAACTGACTCACCAGAAACGTCGTCCTCTGCATCCGCCTATAATCGCGATACATCGAGTCGCCCGGGCCCTCTCCCTCCCCCTCGCTCTCCTCCCAATCCCACTCCTCGCTCGTGTCGCTCTCGTCCCCAGACAGCGCCTCGACGTGGTGGTGCCGACTGGCCGCCACCTCGCCAGGGTCAAGCGACAACCGGTGCGGCGCCGCGCGCCCTTCGTTCTCCCTGATCACCCCCGCAACCTCGCGCGCCGCGCACGCGCGCAGATACGCATCCGTCGACCGCCACGGCCCGCGGTCGATCTCGGAAGGGTGCGCGAGCTCCCCGCGGTGCGAGCCAAAGAACGGCCACGAGACGATCGGCCCGACGTGGAACTCCGAGTGCGGCTGTGGTGCGGGCGTCGCTGAAGAGAGGACGGTGGCGAAATGTGGCTGGTAGGCGGTGACGGTGGGCGTCGGCACAGTGGACGCATCCGCGACGCGGTTGGCGTCCGGACCGAGATAGAGCGAGCCGATGCGCGGGAAGCGGTGCGCAAAGAGCGGGATCATAATCCGCGCCGTGTTTTCCATCAGCGCGAGGAGGTCGCTGTGGCACATACTATGGAACACGCTCGCGAGCGGGATGCCCTTTGCCTGCGCCCTCGTCAGCGCATGTGTGGGAGATGCATGGGCGCACGCACCTTGGACATGATGATATACTCTCCGCCGAGGCGGTTCCACGGGTTCGCATCGTAGTGGTACACGTCCGGGACGGGGATGTTGGTGCGTTCGCGGAAGTATTGCATCGTCGCGATCTCGGACTCGGTCTTGAGGCGTGGCATGAAGCGGCGTGCGACGCGGGCAACGACTTCGTGGCCGGAAGCGAGAGTGATTGAGTAGCCCTGCAGGGAGTTAGCCATTGCGTTTAGGTATGTCTCAGGAAGGGGGGTTCGAAATTGTGCGCGTGCGAGAAGAGAACGGAATCTGTGCCAATCGCACGCCGTATCTTATCTGACCACAAACGGATACGATGCGCACGGGGCGGCGGCCGCGGGGCGGCGCTATTTACGGGCGCTGTGAGAGCTGAGCACGGGGGAACGGTGTGCCTGAGGCCTCACGCGCGGTGTCCACGCGAAATAATATAAAGGATCGGAAGGCTGTGAATGCGGGGACGTTCGTCTTTGCGGACTCGGCGCACGTTCATGGCTCTCTCGTTAAGATCGGCGTGCGATGGCAGCCCTTGCCCACCGTCGGCGGTGGTATAGGGCATCGCTGCACGCAGTCCCGGATATGGCCACGAGTGAGCAAGACGGAACACATACCTTGTGGAATGTCCCTGGAGACGCAGAGATCAGCATCGGTGTCAGCGATCTCGCCTGGCGCTCAGGAGGAATTTCGACACTGACCAGCACCGAGGAACTTGACCCTCACGACCTCCTCACGCATCCTCTCCTGGACGATATCCTTCAGCAGCTTCCTGTCGACCTGGAAGGGCGGAGATCCGTGGTGTGCGGCGTCGGCCCTGGCCTCTTCCTTGCGATCAGCATGCTCGATGTCCCAGTCCCAGACGAGGGGCGGGCGGGCGCAAAGTTCGGCAGGCATGGCGGTGCGGTGTGGGAGAGGGGCCTCGTCGTGGTGCATGCGGGCGGCGCTGGCGAGGAGAGCGTCGGAGAGGAGCTGGATAAGGCTGAGGGAAAGAGAGATGTGAGGAGGGGTATCGGCCGGATGAAGGTCACGCACGTCGGTCTTCTTGGACGGGCTGCGCGCTTGCCACACTGCGGGGCGGACTCGCTCGCTTCCACATGTGATAACAACAGTGCGGGCATGATTGTGCGGGGCTCTATGGCCTCCCCTCTGCCACTATATATCAATATTCTTTGCACCCAGGCGCACGCGCTACAGCCGCACTGTCGCCGCACCCGCCCATCTCCACCGCCCACCTCCCCCTCGCCGTTGGATTTTTCTCCAACTCACATCGGCAGACCCCGCATGCGCCAATCACGCCGCATCCGCCGCATCTGGATTGCGGGGATTACGACCAGACGCCCGTTCCCCGCCGCCGCCCCAGCTCGACACGTACATGTACTTACTGCAACCACAACGCAGATGGCTTGCGTGTACGCATCAACCGCGCCTGCCCTGCTAGATGTGATCCCCACCTTTTGATCACACTGCCGCACCCCGCGTGTTGCGGGGCATTAGTAATTTGCCTTTATGATATGGAATTCAATCATCAATTACCGCGGCGCATGGAGGCCTAGAGCGGTGTTCGGCTCCACTTCCCGACAGCATAACGATTCTCATATTCTCTATACAGTCTCTTCACCTGGATGAGATTGGCGCGGGCAGCGCCGGTTACAGATACCCTAATCATGCTGCACTGCACATGCAGAGCTCGTTATACTAAACAGAGTCACATTACCCTTGCTTTGTGCAATTGCAACGCGGTTGCTGCTTCGCTATGCCTGAAAGAGTCTGGTGAACGTCAATGCGATCTTGGCGAGTGGTCCCATATGCAAATGCAACGTGCGGACGGCGTGTTGAATGCAACAGGGTCTTTGCGAATCGTACGCAGCGCCGATGGGAAGCGTCATCGTGGGTTCAGGCGCGCTTCAGGTGTGTAAATTACTCTGAAAGCTCTGCAACGGTACTGACCGATTTCCCGCACTGCATGCATGACAGAATCGCAGCAGCCCTCATGTGCCTGGAGAAGCCTCGCGTTTACTCCAATGGAGCAGTGTGTGGAACGAAAACACTCGTTCAACAAAGAAAATATGGAGGTATGACATATAAAATCCAAATTTAACTCTACTCTGTCACCACGGAGACTTCTCATTGTGCTGATCATGACCGCTATCAACGGATGACGTCGTCCATAATGGTATGCCGAGGGGTTTGTAGGCGAGGGAACACAGTCTGCAAATATTCAGCGAGGGCCGTTTGGTCGGGCACGGGCCCCGATTTTATCTCCATCATGTACACTATCGAAGAAGATTTCCAGTCATTGGGGATAGGGGGTATATCGCGCACGCTGAGCGGTATTACAACTCTCCTGAGAATAGGAAACGCATCCGCGATGATCGTCAAGGCATCCAGCGTCGGCCACTGTGTCGGAGACACGTACAGCACTAGCTCTTCCAGTACTGGAAAGGCACGGCCAAATCTGTGAAATAGTCCGGGCGTGAGCGCCAGAGACCCGATCTCGAGGTGGAGAACTATCATTGATGAGATCTGCAGGAGCGGCGACAGCGTGTTGAGGGTGACCTCGTACTCGGATTCAGGCACGTCCTGGTCAAATACCTCATCGCCTGCGATGAGAGCGAAGCTGCGCAGCCGGTGGGCCGACGCAGCTTGCGCGAGGGCTGAGACCATGTCTGTCTCGACGGGCCACATCGTTCGAACGCGGATATCTTCCAGCGTCGATGAGCTGGTGGACTTAACCAGTGCCTCACAGAAGTCATCCAGGAGGGGCGTGTCGACGTTGATCGACTGTAGGGATGGGAGGCATGGCACGTCGGAGGGAAAGTCGAGGTATGCAAACTCATCATTATCGTCGATCGTGAGGCTGATATTCTCCAGACGAGACATAGCGGATAGCGTGAGGAAGGCCTGTGCGGAGAGCTGACAACCTATCTCGAAGTTGCTGAGGTTCAGGCCGTCTAGGATGGCATGGGGAAAGGGATCTTCTTCGCATAAGTTGAGGGGGATCGTTGATCTGCTGATCTCCAGCAGCAGCAGATTGGGGGATCGCTTAGGTATGCACTCGAAGTGACATGCGTATGCGGGGATGTAGTCGGAGACATGTAGCTCTATCACGGATGGGCCCAGGATGCCAGGGAGGAGGGCGAGTGAACCAGGGGTGCAACCTTCCCAGTGTACAGTGCGCAACTTTGGGAACAAGACGAAGCCCTCAGGCATGTTGTCAAAGAAATGATAAATCGATGGACTCGAAGGGAGCTCGTTGAACATGTGCCAGATGAACTCTATCAAATTGTGTGCATAGCCTCGGAGCCGTGTTGCACGCTCGAAATCAACCTGGAGAAGCACCTAGAGAGGAGCATCCCAATCATTGGCGATCAGGAATCACGTCATTCAACATTACTGGAATACGCACGATCGTTTTGCCACGGCCTTTCAGAGAGTCTGCTTCCCTCCACATATCGTCGGGAAGCAGCTTGATGAAATCGATGATGCCTTCCTTCTTCGACCACAAGTGGCGAAAGGTGTTGTCAGCCAAAGTCTTGTTGGTGAGGGCCAAATTGTACATTGTTCCTCTGTGATCGCGACGATCATCACCGATAGAGCCAATGATGTGGTCCACAAGCTGATTTATGCCCAGCACCCGGTGGCAAGCTTCATAGTGAGCGTCTTGCTGAGATGAGTTTCCCGCAGACATGCTGAAGAGTGAATGGACGTTATGCAACGTTGATCACTAATCAAGAGATGAGGGAGATGTGGAAGTGGTATAAAGACGGTTCGGGTGACGATGCCTCCTTATATACTGCTGTCCCAATTGTACGAAAAAGGAGCGACCAGCCAAAGTGGCGACCATGGTCTACTGGCGCCATGCCCCTCATCGATGCTTAGGACGGCTTTAACCGCACTAGTCGCACCTGCTGCCCACGCGCAGACACCGTTGTTTCAGAAATTTTACAGAACGGTCAGCATCGGGCCTGGCCATAGCGTCGATCCGTGGATCCTATCCGCGAGATGCAGATGCACGCCAATCGGGAAAATCTAACAAGCACCATCCTGTGCCACTGGGAGTGGTCCTGGGACCTGGGATGACGCTGGCTCTGCACGCGGACGAGCGCATTTTCCGCAGGTTTTGGATGGAGTCAGCCGAGAGTAGCACTCACCTCAGTCGTTGTCGGACACCGCAGGTGGGCTGTGTCTTTTCTCGAGGGTCCGACTCGTACGCCGTCAACAAATATAACGCTAGTGCTCAACTGTTACTGTGACTCGGAGTTTAGTCAGTCGGTATAGACGGTTGCCTGGACCAGTCACGAAGGAATTAGATGTCAGTTGCACAACTGCACATCGTTACCCACCGATTGACCATCGAGAAAACGCCCATGTTCCTGTCCAGGCGCTGCGGGCTGCAGTCAAGCTTCATGGACGCCCGCAGACACAAACAGGTTCACAATACCACCCAATATCACGATCACGTGATTTCCCTCCAGCTAACTACACGGCGCACGCCCTCTCCGTCCTCCCCATTGTGCCCCAAACTGTCGAACATCAGTGGCCAGCAGCACGCAATGCGCCACAGCCGCACTGTCGCCGCACTCGCCCATCTCCACCGCGCACCTCGCCCTCGCCGTTTGCATTTTTTTCTGCAACTCACATCGGCAGACCCCGCATGGCTGCCAGCATGCGCCAATCACGCCGCATCCGCCACATCTGGATTGCGGGGATTGCGACCAGACGCCCATTCCCCGCCGCCGCCCTTTGGCATCCGCTTGGCAGTGCCACGTCTCTCGACACGGTAACATGTACTTACTGCAACCACAACGCAGATGATGCGTATCAGCGGCGCAAGATGTGATCCCCACCTTTTGATCACACTGCCGCTCCCCGCGTGTTGCGGGGAATTAGTAATTTACCTTTATGATATGGAATTCAATCATCAATTACCGCGGCGCATGGAGGCCTAGAGCGACATTCGACTCCACCCTCTACAGCATAACGATTCATATGCATGTCTCTTTCACTGGGTGTAGTTGGCGCGGCAGCGCCGTTTCCAAACAACAGACAGAACCGCTGCAATACATAACAGGTACGTGCACTACACAATCCCCCGGGAAACGTTCAACGTCGATTTCTTTCCTGGTGCCGCAGACTCGGAACGCAACGGTCGCACACCGTAGTCCACAACGCGTCTCTGCCATCTGTGAAGAGGCAAAGATGTCCTCGCATGCAGGTCAATGTCAATCCATTCTGATGCAGCTTCATCACGTGGAGTGTGGAGCGCATGCAGGATAATAAAGCGATTGAGCGTCGAAAGTTTCAGACCATCGATCAATTATCGTACAGCGTGATAACATCCGGGACTGCACGAAACATTGCAGGCGATAGCGTGCTAACCCCTGCCCAGCGTGGAAGCCTGAGAGTGAAGCAGAATCGGATGTCTCTGGCTGTCTCTGGTTTATGCGAGAGCGATGGCGTGAGAAGCCCAGTAAATATGATGAAATCCAGCATGAGGTTACATGACATTGCAGTGGAGCGACTACGGACAGTCATGGCGGACAAGTGAACAAAGAGCTTGCCAAGAACAGTCAGGAAAAGTGTGATATTCGCCCATCATCATCCCGCCGCTCGATGGGTTATCTCTAACGCTCCGAAATCGATTCAGTCAACTCATACGCTGTGCCGCTATCTTCTCCTTCTTCCGTCGTATCCACGCGCAGTTGAGATGGCGGAGGGGAAGCGTATCGTACGGTCTCGAACTCTTCCATTGTCCACAGAGAATCAGATTGCGGACTTCGCACCGCAAAGCGGCGCAAGTTCAACAGGACATGAGAGCCCTGAGAAAGAGTTATACGAGCTCTGCTGGACAGGATGTATGCGAGCATTGGAATGAACTTGCCGCAAATGACATTATGGTCAGCTCCCAACTGCGCGAAACAATTTGAGTTGATTTTTGCTCAGAGATAGACTGACTTACGAGAAACAGACACCCGCTAACGGATTATCCACGAGATGATACAGCAAGGTATTGAGAAGCATTATCACTGGATACCATCGCATGAGCCAATACTCACATGTGTAAGGTACTAGTGCCAAACAAGCTCACAGAAAATGACAGCATATGCCCAGGTGCCATCGCGTACCAGAAGAAACATAATCGACTCCTTGCTCCGAGACCCATACTTTCTCCAACCAATGGATTTGAACAGGGTCAAGGCAAATAGAATTGTTTCGAAGGAAAGCGATATGATCCTGCGAATCATGAGCCATCAGAATATGGTGGGTCGCATCTTTGGCATCATACCAGTATGAAGTCCAGACAGGAGGAGTCCGTATGATGAGACAGGCTGATGTACTGATCTCCATCTTTGGAATACTGAGGGCTATGACCGTGATCATTGAGATAATCTCTGCGAGGTAGAGCGTCAATACCGTCGCGACGATCAACATGTTATCCTTGAACATTGCGTATACTCGGGTATCATTTTCAGCACTTCAGTATCGATAGTCGTGTCAACGTAGGACGTACTGCGCGCGATGAGCACTGCCTCGACAATCACGGTAAGAGTCTCGTTTAGAGTGAGCTGGAAGATCAACCAGATTCGGCACTGTTCGGTACGCCAGGGATGAGCAGATTGCGAGTGAGATGGTGCAATCATCTCTAGAAGGCCCCTATGACCATGCAGGAAGCTATTAGTATAAGGATCTGATTAACCAGAGCGGTTGGAGTACATACACTTCAGCAAGGTAGGGAACATGTCTTATGAAGGCATACGCATACTTGATCCAGGAGCGTCGGCCACTGCCAGAGAGGCAAATGAGCAGAACTGACTTTCAGATACTACCATCTCACCGCCATATGTACTCGACCTGGCAAGGTGGAAAACCACTGAGCTTAGGGGAAAGAGACATTCAGAGATCCGTACTTCGTCTCCCATGTGAATGAGTGTATCGTATACAAGGAAACTCATCGCCGCAACTCCAAAGTAGCTATTCACTGCGATGAGGGGTATGGATATCTCGTTTTGCGCAGCAATCTGGTGGTACTGAAACTCACATAACGTATCCCTATAATCCGATGGCGTTGCAGTCATGCGGGGCAGAGTTGTTGCGGGAACGGCGAGTTCGAAGACAACGTGGCTCATGTACAGGTGGCCTTTGCTCTATATGATAACGGACCAAGATGATAAGCACGAGGTCTTGTCATGTCACGGTCAGCAAGGGTAATGATTCATGGCAAGATATAGAACTCCACGTACTGAATCTCATTCGACCGATGCCTTGGCAGCTTCTCTTCGCTACCGAGTGTTACTAAAACATGCATTTCACGGAGCGGCTATCGTGACCCCGGGAGTGACCTGTTGGCACTGCAGTGTGCACGCATGGGCCCCGCGTCATCGAGCGAAACTACTATTGCGTCCGTCGCCGAAGTAGAAGCTGTGTGCACCAGCTTAATACGGAGCAATCAATTGCATCAAGCCGGTGGGCGCCTCATCTTGGACAAGTGTAATCATATTGCCTGCAGGAGGATATAACTGCGATCGACCGGCGAGATGTCAATAAGTCATTTGCTAAACCTGTTAATCGTGACAGCATTCGTGATTCCAAAAGATTTAATTAAGTCACCTGGAATCCTTAATAAACACAGGAGAGACGCTGACTAGATAGCAACGCACATGGAGAACTGAGCGAGTTCGGTTTGCGCCGTATTCCGATGAGACCGGGCGCGATCAGAACGGAGGCTCAACGCCGTCTCCGATTTGAACGTCCAACATGCTGCATGATTTCGATAGCACCACAGACGGCAGAAGCAATGAAGAGATGAAGTCACTAATAGAGAGTGAATTCTCGAAGTTGGTTCTATCGCTAGCGGGACGTCCCGGACAAGATCCTGAATGACTGTAAATGTTTCGGACCGCTGGAGCTAATATTATTGGTGATGATCGATGAGCGCGCGCATCGCCATTTCATGATCGTGATCTTGGTGAAGACACCCGGGCCTCCGATATGAGATAATGGTCAGTGAACTTTGCTTTGATGAGGCCGCACGGGAAGTCGAAGTCAGACCTAGTCAGACGTTCCGAACAACCACATGAGTATCAGATGATCTGCGAAGGTAGTACAGACTCTTCACTCCGTCTCGGCAGTCTGGACTAGATTGCTGTGCATGTGAGCTCGACCACTGAACATTCGACATTTGAACCTTGAGGCTTGTCCTCGCCAGACAATGCAAACGGCATGTACTCAACGTTCAGTCAAAGTACTATAAACAGCCTACCTATGTACTGAAGTGACCAGAGTTTGTCAAAAACAGACCGGAGAAGTGTCAAATTCGCCCATCATCACGCCGCTCGGTGGGGTTGTCTCTAGCGCTCCGCAATCAACTCAGTCTATTCATGCGCCGTGCTATCTTCTTCTTCCGTTGTATCCATGCACCATTGCGATAACGGAGGGCAAGCGTATTGTATGGTCTCGAATTCTTCCACTGTCCACAGAGAGTCAGATTGCGGACTTCGCACCGCAAAGCGGCGCAAATTCAACAGGACATGAGATCCCTGAGCAAGATTTATATGAGCTCTACTGGACAAGATGTATGCGAGTACCAGAATGAACTTGCCGCAAATGACATTACGGAGAGCTGCCAACTGAGCGAAGCGACATGAGTTGCATCCATATGTTCCTCTCAGAGATAGAGTGACTTACAGGAAACAAACACCCGCAAGCGGATTATCCACAAGATGATACATCAAGGTGTTGAGGAGCATGATCACTGGAGATCGCCAGATGAGCCGATACTGACGTGTATAAGGTAGTGACAAACATGCTCACAGAAAATGAGGGCATATGCCCAGGTGCCATCGCGTACCAGAAGAAACATAAACGACTCCCTGCCCCCGTAGTTTCTCAAAGCGATAAATTTGGACATGGTCAAGGCAAATAGAATTGTTTCGAAGGAAAGCGATATAATCCTGTGAATCATGAATGATCAAAATACGATAGGTCGCATCTTTGGCATCATACCAGTACGATGTCCAGATAGGAGGAGTCCGTGTGATGAAACAGGCTGAGGTACTTATATCCATCCTTGGAATACTGAGGGCTATGACCGTGATCATTGCAATAATTTCTGCGAGATAGAGCGACAATACCGTCGCGACGATCAACATGTTATTTTTGAACATTGCGTATACTCGGGTACCGTTTTCAGCACTTCAGCGTCGATAGTCGTGTCAACGTAGGACGTACTGCGCGCGATGAACACTGCCTCGACAACCACGGTTAAAGTCTCGTTCAGAGTGAGCTGGAAGATCAACCAGATTCGGCACTGGTCGGTACGCCAGGGATGAGCAGATTGCGAGTGAGATGGTGCAATCATCTCTAGAAGGCCCCTATGACCATGCAGGAAGCTATTAGTATAAGGATCTGATTAATCAGAGCGGTTGGAGTACATACACCTCAGCAAGGTAGGGAACATGTCTTATGAAGGCATACGCATACTTGATCCAGGAGCGTCGGCCACTGCCAGACAAGAGGCGAATAAGCAGAACTCATCAATGAACACTTTCATACTACTATCTCACCACCATATGTACTCGACCTGACAAGGTGGAGAACTACTGAGCATAGGGAAAAGGGACATTCAGAGATCCGTACTTCGTCTCCTATGTGAATGAGTGTATCGTATACAAGGAAGCTCATCGCCGCGACTGCAAAGTAGCTATTCGCTGCGAAGAGAGGTATGGATATCTCGTTTTGCGCAGCGACTTGAATCTGGTGGTACTGATACTCACATAACGTATCCCTATCATCCGATGGCATTGCACGCACGCGGTGGCAGAGTCGTTGCGGGAACAGCTAAATAAGAGGGAACAGCCTCGTTTTGAAGACAATGTGGCTTATGTAGAGCTGACGTCCGGTCTGTGTCCGACCACTGGGGATAGATCTTCTCATGCCGCAGTGATCAACAACGGTGATGACCAATGGTAAGACATAAAAGTCCACATATTGAATCCCATTCAAATGATGACTTGGCGTCGCCTTCTCTTCGCTACCGAGTACTACTATCTCATGCACAAGCTTCGGTTAGTAACATGCATTTCACGGAGCGACTATCGTGACCGGGGTGACTTGCTGCCACTGCACGCATGGGCCCCGCGTCTCCAAGCGAAACTCATGCATCCGTCGCCGAAGCGGAAGCTGTGTGCTGAAACGCTAAGGAACAATCAATTGCGTCAAGCCGGCGAGCGCCTCATCTTGGACAAGTGGGATCATGTTGCCTGCAGGAGGATGTAAATGCGATCGACCGGCGAAATGTCAGCAGTTCATCTACTATATCTGTCAATCGTGACAGTATCTGTTATTCCGACAGATCGAACGAAGTACCCTGGAATCCTTGAGAGAGACGCTAACTACACAGCAACGCACGTGTAGAAATTTGGTTTGCGCCATATTCCGATGAGACCGGGCGCGATCAGAACGGAAGCTCAACGCCGTCTCCGATCTGGGCGTCCAACATGCTGCATGTTTCGATAGCATCATAGATGGCGGAAGCCACGAAGAGATGAAGTCACTAATAGAGAGTGCATTCCGGAAGTCGGTTCTATCGCTATCGGGGACGGTCCTGAATGACTGTAAAGTTTTTGGACTGCTAGTGCACGTCCTTATTACGCTCGAGCTGATCTTATTAGTGATGAGCGCGCATCATAGCATCGCCATCGCATGGTCGTGATCTCGGCGAGAACAACCTCCGACATGAGATAACCGTCACAGTGAACTTTGCTTGAAAGAGGCCGCACGGGAAGTCGAAATCAGACGTTTCGAAAGACAACATAAGTATCAGATGATCCCCGAAGGATAGAATCGGACTCCGTCTTAGCAGTCTGGACTAGATCGCCGTGCATGTGAGCTCGACGAGTGACCGTTTGACTCACCTCGAGGCTTGTCCTCGCCTGACAATGCGAACGGCATGTGATCAACGTCCAATCAGAGTATAAACAGCCTGATCTGTTTACTGACCTGGTGCAAACGTATTAGATTGACAATTCTTCGTAAACTTTGAGAGTCGAGAGTATTTCGAGCTGATCATAGGACAATTCCAGCGGCTGTGAGAATATGAGACCACACATAGGGGCTCCGCGCATCCACGGATTCCATCCATGTAGGCGACGTAAACGCACGAATAGTATATCCAGTGGTGCAACGATTTTACTTGTTGAAGAAAGCCAAGCGGTGACAAGAATCACATCGTGCTAACCTATGAATCCCAAGACTGACCTTCCAACGGGATCAACCTGGGCAATGAGCCAAGCGTCATTGGCGAACCAATAGACTGTAACAACCTTCCTCAAGAAGTTGCCCTTCTATCGCAATGGGCGACAAGACCGAAGGGCATCCATGAGAATTCCTCCTCGTAAGACGACTTAGAAAGCGACCGGATAATTGATGCGCGACCAAGCCATACATGGTCCCCAGGAAGTCTAGCCAGAAAAGCGACAGCATTGCACTTTTTTTTCACTGCCTAAGTCAGAGATGGTAGGGCGCATGGCGCAACGCTGGCGGACGAACTTGCCAGACTGACATAGCATATTCTGAATTTGGAACCATGGCCTCAAATTATATTCATATTTTGTCTACGCCTCAAAGGCAAAGGACCAGATCAAAATCTGTTAGGCATAGTCCACTATGAAAGATGGTGCCATATCTGCAGTGTTAAAGTCTTCCGGGAACATTGAAAAGCTCATCAGCTAGATTCAGCGTAATGTCAAGTACGCGCAAAAGGACTTATCTCAGTTGAAGAAACGATTACGTAAATTAAATAGACGCGACGCGTAATACGCGTACACTTGCACGCGCCTTGGATTGCGCACTCACTCTCATCTCCCTCCAAACCATTCTTCATCATGCCTGAACCTACCGCCACCATCTCCGTCACATCTGAGGATCCCAAGAAGAAGAAAGAGGAGAAGCAATCAGAATCAGGCAAGGCGCAAGAAGCTAAGAAGAAAGGAGATGAGAAGGAGGGCGAGGACCTGGTGCGTATGCTGCGAGCGTGGTAGGATGATGACTTACAGTCTGACAACAGTCAGAGGAAGACTTGCAACTCAAGAATGAGCTTGAGATGCTCGTTGAGCGGCTGAAGGTACGGCATATTGATCTCGTTCCGAGCTACTGAACGAAACACACCGAACGCAGGAGCCCAATACAGAGCTATATCGGCCAGCCCTCGAGACTCTACGGACATTGATCAGAACGTCGACATCGTCCATGACATCCGTTCCTAAGCCGTTGAAGTTCCTACGTCCACATTACCGCGAGCTTCAGTCACTGTACGAGGCATGGTCGCCGTCAGAGGACAAGGTAAGTTCACTCCAAATGCACCGTATCGTAGCTGACAGAGTCAAACAGAGCTTGTTCGCGGACATTCTGTCAGTCCTTGCCATGACCTATTCTGATACAGAACCCCGTGGCACGCTGCGCTATCGCCTGCTTTCTGCTTCACTCCGCCCCGCATCATCACCACTGTCAGAGCCAGGGTCTTGGGGACACGAGTACGTCAGACACCTTGCCGCGGAGCTTGGAGAAGAGTACACTGCACGCACACTTGGTGAAGAGGCAGTGGAGGTCACGACGGAGGAGCCAGAGAAAGAGAAGGCAAACGAAGAGCCGGAGAAGAAACCTGCGGAAGTGGTTGGTAGTATCGACGATCTGCACGCTCTGGCAATGGAGTGCGCAACATTTCTGTTGCATCACAACGCTGAGCCTGATGCCGTCGACTTGCTGGAGGAGCTAGAGATTGTTGATCGGATTGTGGAGCTTGTGGACGAGAACACGTACGAGCGGGTGTGCCAGTACATGATTCGGTGCGTATTTTTAAAAAATACTCCATGCATATGATTTTGATGCAATTGCGTAGTTGCGTAAACCTCCTCCCGACTCCAGATGATCGTGCATTCCTGCGTACGACACACAGAATCTACGTCCAGCATCATAAGTTCCCTCAGGCACTCTCACTCTCGATACGACTTGCCGATCCGGATCTCATCCGACACGACTTCAACGCGCCAGCGAATCCGCTCATGAAACGCCAACTTGCTTTTCTGCTCGCACGTGCTCAAATACCTACTCAATGGTTGGAACCACAAAGTTCTGAGGATGATGTTGACGATGTGGAGTCTGAGATGCAAGAAGATATTGTGGAGTGTCTCAGCAACACGCATTTGAGCGAGCACTTCCGCGACTTTGGAAAGGAGCTGGGTGTCCTCGAGCCGAGGAGCCTCGAAGATGTCTACAAGTCGCATCTTGAGAACACAAGTGCGTGCGAGGGGGACTTTGCTCCGCAGTTCGGCTGACATTTGATGGGTCTACAGGGACATCAACAGCGAACGTTGATTCTGCGCGAGCTAATCTAGCAGGCACGTTCGTGAACGCATTCGTAAACGCAGGCTTCGGTAACGACAAACTCATGGTTGAAGCGGAGGAAGGCAACAGCTGGATTTACAAGAATAAGGATCATGGTATGTACCATGATCTCTTCTTCGATTGAGACTATTGAGTGTTCATTTTGTTAGGCATGATGAGCGCTGCCGCAAGTCTTGGTCTCAGCTTGCTCTGGGACCCAGATGTCGGTCTCAGTCACGTCGACAAGTACACATACTCCTCGGAAGAGCACATCAAGGTATGTTTATGGTTCTACTACGCAATGTCCCCTTTCAAACAGACCATTGTTAGGCTGGTGCTCTCTTGGCCACTGGTATCTTGAACACGGGCGTGCGCACGGAAGCTGACGCTGCTCTTGCTCTTCTTAGCGAGTATGTCAAGAGCAAGTCTCTGCCGCTGAGAACCAGCGCGACTACCGGCCTTGGTCTCGCGTATGCTGGTTCGCATCGCGAGGATATCCTGCAGCTGCTCTTGCCATACATCGCTGATGATAGTGTCTCGATGGAGATCGCATCGCTTTCGGCGCTTGCTTTGGGTTTCATTTTCGTCGGCAGCGGGAATGGCGAGATTGCCAGCACGATCCTACAGACGCTGATGGAGCGCGAGGACAAACAGCTGGAGGAGAAGTGGGCGAGATACATGATCCTCGGCCTAGCGCTGCTGTATCTAGGTGCACCGTCTCAAGCCATCGATCAAACTGTAGCTGACAATCCTCCTCCCGACGCGCACTACAGGTCTGCAAGACGGCTCGGACGCAACTGTTGAGACGCTCAAGGCTATTGAGCACCACATCTCGAAGCAGGCTGTCATCCTTGTTGACACTTGTGCGTATGCTGGTTCGGGCGACGTGCTCAAGATCCAGGAGATGTTACATCATTGCGACGAGCACGTCGTAAAGCCGTCTAAAGACGACAAGGACAAGGACAAGGATGCCGCTCCAGAAGAGCCGCCCAAAGATGATACATTCCAGGCGTTCGCAGTCCTTGGTATTGCTCTTGTAGCCATGGGCGAGGAGGTTGGCTCAGAGATGTCCATGAGAACCTTGAGTCACTTGGTGCGTCATACCTCAGTACACCACGTACATTCTCCGACCGTTTTCATAGATGCAATATGGCGAGCCGATCATCAGAAAAGCTGTCCCTCTCGCGCTTGGCCTGCTAAGCGCATCAAATCCTCAACTACCAGTCATGGATACATTGTCTAAGTACAGTCACGACAATGACCTAGCAGTCGCACTCAATGCCATCTTCGCAATGGGTCTCATCGGTGCGGGGACGAATAATGCGCGGTTAGCGCAGATGCTTCGGCAACTGGCGGGCTACTACTACAAGGAGCCCGACTGTTTGTTCATGGTGCGCATAGCCCAAGGGCTGGTGCACATGGGCAAGGGCACTCTCACGATCAACCCGTACTTCTGTGACCGGAATATCATGAGTAGGACGGCTGTTGCTGGTCTGCTGGCGACGTTGATTGCATTCACGGATGCGAAAGGCTGTACGTGAGGTTCTTCGCATGTGTGCCCCAATTACTAACTACTTTCCTGCAGTCATTCTTGACAAGTATCATTGGATGCTGTATTTCCTTGCCCCAGCAATGTATCCGAGGTTCTTGATCACGCTCAATGAAGAGCTGAAGAACTTCCCTGTGACTGTCCGCGTCGGTCAGGTATGCACTCTTTCGGCCGTCGGATGGGTCAAGCATAATGCTGATCTGGGTATGCTCAGGCTGTCGATGTGGTCGGCCAAGCTGGCAAACCAAGAACGATCTCGGGCTTCCAGACGCATTCCACACCAGTCCGGTTGGGCACAACAGAACGAGCCGAGCTTGCCACCGAGGAGTACATTCCGTACGCGCACGTGCTCGAGGGCTTCGTCATTCTGGAAAAAAATCCTGGCTATGAGAAAGAGGATAAGATGGAGTTGTAGCTGTAGCTGTTGTACGACTCTAATTCTTTTCGCTTTCGCATGGACATAGAAATACGAATGTTATCATCAAGTGTTCACTGGTCGGCAGCCTTTTTAGATTTGTGCTTGCCTCTTCCAACGTGAGCGGACCTGGAGCTTGAACGGCCGGCGCCTTGCCATAACGAATTATTCTGTGAACTAAGACCGCCACTATACGAGCGCAAGATGGCCTGATTCACTCTTACCACTTCTTATGCCTCATTTCCCACCTCATTTCCCACCTGCTTATATATTGGACCACCTGAGCGCGATCTAGTGATCTTAGCCCTTTCTGCCGTTTGATTACGAGCTTTCCGCGAATCTTGAACGACTCTACCACACTGCTGAAATGACCACCATCTCTATTGCCAGTACTTCTGATGTCCAGAGCTCTCATCCTCCAGCAGACAAGTATCGCGGGGCGGTCGTGGAGGTGCTAGACTACTGTTTTGAAGCGCGGAGCGGTGAACTGATCACATAGGATGTCGTCAGGACATGCAATTGCCTCCCGCATTCGCTCTTCCTTCAGGTGAAGCCATTTCTCGGGCAATAGAGCTGGCGTACGAGCGTGACTTCTCCCACATTCCGTGAGTCCTCATGTCCCTTTGGAAGATTGGTCTGCATGATTTGTGAGTAGTGTCCTTGATCAGAAGCGCAAGCCTCTGGGATACCTGGATGTGGCGGCGCTGAAGGAGAAATGGGAATCAGGAGAGGCAAGCCCTGTGAGCGGAACCTCATATGCCTGCGCAGAGCATACACTCTAATGAAGTATTCTGCTGCAGAACGACAAGGTGATCCGATACATGACAAAGTTCAATCGGTCGTCGTCGTATCCGTATACTCTCATAACGCCCTCGACGCCTCTCGCTGATCTCGAAGGTTTCTTACGACAGAATATCTTTGCGTTGGGTATGCTGGCGCATGTATTTTTATGGAAGCAACTCATATTGTTCTTGGGCTAGTGACAGACTGGGATCGGAAGTTTGTTCTCGCTGTCGCGACGTCGCAGGACCTGCAGGTAAGTCAATGTCTCAACGAGGCCATCAGCACAACGTCTAACGTTGATCATCTTAGGATTTTGTCAATCGTCGTGGCTTCTAGTCTTTGCCTATATGTGACCTCTTGCCTGCTTCTGTCCGCTTGTTCACAGCTTGCACGGGATGCACAACTATGTAATAGCGTCATTGAATCTCTGGTATAAGAGGAGTCAGTTATTACAGATACACTAACATGAACAGCTACTGTAGAGCAGAGCATGAAGGAGTGTGAGTGAACAGTCCGCAAGGACGACCGTAGGGGTATTCAGAAGGCGTAACTCTACAGGGGTATCCAAGAAGTTCACTACGATACATGTATACAAGCTCGAAGTATTATAAGTGGACAGCAGGATAGCAAGAATATATCATGTAGGCATAGAGGCGGAGGCAAATCGATGGGAGTCGACTTGACGCAAGGAAGCACGAGTATATCCTTTTGATCGAAATGTTTGAAATGAGGGGTCAGTCGCGGGTATGAGTAGAAATGCGACTCGTGATCAGTGATTATGTTGCCTCAGTGGCCAAACTCCGAATGCGATGGGCGACGCCCATGCAATCAGGATCAACGCGACATGCTGCGTACCAAACGATGTCGGCACGGTACGACCGGAGAACATGTCCACCAATGAAGACATGGCTGCGAGTATTTGTGTCAGCGACAGGAAAAGCTGGAAGAACATGATACGCCAGACAACACGGCTCCGGCACGCTGGGCGTGGATCTGGATACGACAAGTCCCATAAGGAATCTGTCATGGCAAATATCGTGCGTTTGATGTATGGTCAAAATGACACATGGGCGACGTTCTAGTTAGCAATTAGCACAAGCGAAGAACACAATGTGGACCTACGTGCATACATAGCGAACTCTTCTGCATCAACCTCACTTTCCGTATGCGTGAATTCCAGCTCCGATTTCGTGTAGGAGGACACGTCAGAGCAGTGGTGTGCCCATTTCATCGAGCCGCTTGACCAGTCTCCCTCGACGTCTTCGTATCCAGTCACGACCCGAACGCCTGACATGCGAGCCTCTTCGCGTACCGCGTTTGCCTCGTCTAGGGCAGATGCAGATGTGTCCCGCGGACTGACACTGGTAAACAGTGATATGCTGATGGGACTTGTCCGCGCACTTGACACAACCGACCGGGAGACAAACGACATCGGAGACAGCGACTGACTATAGTTACTGAGCCGTTCGCGCCTGTGTTCGTCGTATTCCGGAGAAGATCGCGTTGTCGATGATCCCCAAGAGAACGGTAAAGGATGACGCTTGGTGTGATTTGGGATAGTGGCGCGTCCAAGCGTTCGATACGGCTTATCAGTGGACAATGAATGAGCAGGCAGAATGTTGACGATCGGCCTCGGTTTCTGCCTTGACGATGCCATGTGTGCATTGTTAGAAGTCCGTTGATTATCCAAAGATGACAATGTATCCAGCTCGACCGCGCTGTCAGGGACGTCATCCCTTTCGGGTTCTAAAGGTTTCCCCTTGGGTCTTGAGTTTCGACGTACGGGCATTGGTGTGAAGGCGTCGCAGTTGTTGCTGCACGGTGCATGGGAAGGAATGTGGTGCTGTTGCTGGCCAAACAGTAGGATGACTACAGATATACAAGACAAAACAAATGAAGGGAAGGCGAGCAACAAAGGCACTCCAGCGAAGCTGAGTAGGCTGACCCTATCGGCTAAGATAGTTAGGAATCCGTTGAACACAGCCGGTACACTCAGCACGCACCATATGGGGTTCGTGGCCTCACAGATCATAGCGTCAGACTGCCGGACGGCATCCGTTTTCAGTGAGACGACAATATATGCCACGAACGCGATGAGTGGAAAGCCAACAATCGATAGGAGGAGCAAGTGTCGCCATTTCAGAGCTCGTCGTCTGCAAGGCAATCAGATCTTTAATAAGTGTCTGAGCAACGAAGATAATCACAATTCCACTGCATCGAGCATTCCATGTGAACGAAGAATCGCAAGCGAGGTCATCAGAGTCATGGTGGCGCATATAGTCGTCATCGTGAACCATGACACAGCTGACACGGCTGCTTGCGCTTTAAGACAGTTCAACATTGATGTCGCAGGTGATACTCAACCACACATACCGATACAAAATCCTTGTGGCATAATCGTCGGATCCATTTTCCAAATCATACCTGCAAGCAAGGCCAACGCTTCACTGAGACACCGTCAAAATGGCAAATAGTTAACATACCGAGACAGAAGATCGACTGCATGATCGTGTCTGCCAAGCAGAACATGACGGGTATCCACAAGCCATTGAGAGCGGTCGTGAATCGAGGAAATCCGACCCAGCTTCCCAGGACGCCTGAAGGTCCGCCAATAGACTGAGATCTACACGAGATCGTACAGGTAAAGCGCGACTCACCTGTCAGAGACAGCACAAACCATGCCACCTTGAGCGCGAAAGGCAGCATACTGATCTCACCGTGACGACCTACGGGAGCGTTTCTGCTGCTGAGTCGCGGAAGAAGGACAAGGAGCGATAGGGCAGCTTGGGAGCCTCCGCCGGGTGTAAATTGATCATCCGGGAGGTTTGATCTCCGTCCGGCCTGACAGAGCATGAGATGATGTCGAGGGAATGCTTCTAGCATAGCCTACCTATCATTGGATCAGCCCAACGACCTCCCTATGGTATATCAGAGCCGTGCCCGGGATGATTGTATCTTCCGCTCGACGGGGCGATGGACCCATCAGTGGCCGAGAATGTTGCGAAGTCGATGTGGTCTGAGCCGTGCACCACTTAGCCGAGAGCGCCCTTGTGCCTGCCGTTTCATCGAATCCCTCAAACCATGTTATTCAGCACCGGTGTGGAATTCCTGCAGACTTCAGTCCAAGTCAGCTGGCTCGCTGAAAACCATTGTAGTCTGAGTTAGACCTGATCTTACGATCAACATCGCACGATGAACGGGAGAACGCCATCTTTGACCTGATGGTTACTACGATAAATGGATGCGACACAAGGACAATTGATTAACCGCCAGTGTGGCCGCCAATCTGTTGAGACCTTGTCGTGGAAGTGTCAGTGCGGAGATATTGTCTTGAGGTTGCTCTTTATCCATGGAATACCTGCAGGTTGACAGAAAAGACGCTTGCTCCGGATTATAGACCATTCGAACTGACAAACGGTGCCGAGTTTCGGATTTACGCCGCGGTTTTCAGCTCTACGCTCTCACACCGGCAGCACTGCCCAACACTTCCCCCCATCGCGATGACTTGTTGACTTCTTTGACACATCTTGGGCCTAGTCCGACTTACCCAGTCGCACTGTGCTTGAGAAAGTATCCGGGCGATCACAGAGAAAGCAACAAAGTCACGGTTTCCACGGACGCAGAGTCCCATAGAACCATCGTGTAAACCTTCTGTGTTAGTGGCCGTGTCTCGGAGCTGTGGCACAAAGACAAGATGATAGCAGGCACCATGACCAATACATGGCAACTTTGCAAGCATCGGAACGCCGGATTTGGAATAGACAAAGAAGATCCTGGATATGAACAAGCTAGAAGTATTGTTCCCCCTGAACCAGCCTTCGCTGAGCAACGCGAAAGCCCCGATATAACTACCGTACTTTACGGTCTTCACACGCTGCCGGTCTGGTTCTGCGCACCCTGCCTTGTCTCCAATATGCCCGTCAATATCGTCGCCACCAGCACTAGCGGCGGGCACAGAAGCAGAAGCGGCGATACCGCATGTCACTCTTGTCTCTGCCGCGACATGGGGCTGCCATCGCGCGTAGGCGACTCCGTGATGTCAGCAGCCTCGGGTACCCACTCCAACGATACCTTCACGTCGAGAATATGTGAGCCTATCCCGATGGGGAAGTCTATTTCATTCCGCTTCAGCGATAGGGTGATGCTCTGGCTTGCAAGAGAGCGAAGACTGGGCATGTGAAACGTGGGAATGAACCAGAACCAACCCATGAATACCTGCGGAAGCGAAATAAAAATATTGGTCATGTCTAGCGCAGATCGTCTTGCTTACCTGACCCATATACAACTTGATCCGCACCTCCCGATTGGCATTGAGAACGACTCCATCCTCGCTGTGCAGCGTCTTTGACACGTCCCTCAAGTCGTGTATAGACGCCTCCTCTGAACTCGTGTCGTCCTGAGTAGCGTCAAGTTTGTTCTCCACGTTCATCTGGATGGAATCACGCAGAGCGCCCCATGTGCCGTCTGTCAGCGGCCGAAGCTCCCGTGTGACGACTTTGGCGTCCTATGCGTAATATGCCGTTAAAAGAATCGTAAAGGGAGTGTTCATCGAAGCACGCCTCACCGTCCCCATCTCCTTGTGGATATCATGTTTGCTAATCACACCGAGCCTTGCAAAGCTGCGCACCATCTTGCCTTTATCCCAGTTGTCGTCTTTGAAGATGTCCGCGAGCGCCTCGTCCTCCATGCGCTCTGAACCTGCCCTCCGCTTGCCCATGTTCCCATTCTCATCACGAGTATGCCTTTCCCATCTCTCCAGCGTCGCGATGAACTCGTCGTCATAGCGAGCGAGCGACGCCCAGACTTGTCCCTTGCTCTCTGAGACCGAGCTGCTGCTTTGAGCCTTCGCGTAGCTCGTGCGTTCGATGATCGCGTTTGCGACGCGAACCAAATTCGTCTTGGTACCGGACATCTCACGCATGCGCAGCGTAATCCGTGTGAGGCGAATCTTTGGTTCAGGCCTTCTTATAACGTCCGGATTTGTCGACCAAAAGTCCGAGGGACCTTGGTGAGCAAGTACCATCGACCAATAGTATAGCCAGCGGCGTTGGCTCGGTATGCTGACGCCCTGCTTGGTTTCATTCGATGGCGAAGAAGATCTCTTCATGCGGCGGGACGTATGCAGCTCGAGGACGTCAGATAACCTGTGCGTTGGTGGGTGTGGCAGCATCCCAACTTGAACGTCGCTTGTGGGAGGCTCTTGGTCAACCGGAACAGCTGCGGCATCGATAGCTTCCAGCTTCACAGGATCCCCCGGCGTCTTGCTTTCGCGAGACGGCTCCTCTCCCGACATGTTATCCGATGGCATCTCATTCATGATCTGTTCGGCGCGAGTGGTAACTCGCTCGATAACTGTAGCACTTTGTTCGGGCTTTGAAGGACTAGGGAGACTATCGCAGGCGAGAAGGTATGCGCAAGCCATCGTGCCTGATCTACCTTTGCCAGCTAATAGGGCCAGGTTCGCTGAGGGCATGACCACCATAAAACTAAGTACATACCTTTGCAGTGAAGCACAGCGACATGTTCTGGATTACCTTGAAGCCAGGTTCGCATCTCACGTGCGACGAGAGGTAAAAACGCAAGTGGTGGAGCACTGAAAAGTCGAACGATGTTTCAGTGAATCGGCAGCTGAGAAGGACGTGGGTGCCAGAACGAGACGCATATAGCCTCTCAACTTACTGATGATCTGGAAACGGGTACCTGCTGACTCTGCCGTCAAAGACAGATGCAGGGTATGAGTTCTCCTTGACAGGACAAAAGTTGAACACCCAGAAGTTCTGTCCGTGGCGATGTTCTAGGAATTTCTTTGCATCCTCCCGTCGATTGCGATAGAGCGCCTCCAGCCCAGACGATGGGTAGCCCATGACTATAATCTTATCCGTAATATACACAAGATCTTCCGAGCGAGATGAACGTCAGCGTCCGCTAGCGGCGGCGAAACATGCCAAACCACCTAAATCAATGTCTAGAGTCTCATCCTTGTACCGAGCTTTGTCTCCAGAGACCAGGCGACGGAAGAAGTCAGCCATGTTAGTTGAGCAGTTCTGCCAATGCGAGAGTTCGGTGCACGAGTTGATCTACTTGCATCTGACAGCCTCGAGTGAGGTCATAATACAGATAATCTGATGAGGAAGCTTGAGGAAGGCCTTGTAGAACGAATTCCTGAATTGCCTACAGGAAAGCCGGTGCAAACGTACAGATTTCACAAAAAGCAAGACATTGCAGTGATGGATGGTCGTTTTGGCAAACAGCAGCTGCTCTGTGCAGGAGAGAAGATAAAGTGGCATTTTCTTTCGCGCTCAGTCACGCATGACATCGCGCCGCGGGCACCAGTGACTCACGTTGCCGACGTCCATTACTGCGACCAGATAAATGCCACTTATTATCATGAAACAAAACGTGTCCCCCATCTCCCACCATCCTTACATTGCAACTTCCGGATTGTCAGCATTGGTGTCACAATGTCGACTCTGTCACTAGCAGACCTGTCGCTATTTCCAGCGACGCGAGAACAAACCATTGAATCGCGCAGACGGTCGGCGAAACAATGGGCGAAAGGGCTGAGCCTCGAACAATATTTCAAGAGGGACGAAATCATGGAAAGACAGGAGCACGCAACGGACGGTAGATTGATAACATGGTCTGTATGCTGCCGGCGGAAGTGTTGATCACAATTATGCGCTAAATCTAACACGTTCATAAATGTACAGGGTGCTTGCTCACAGGGCTGATCCAACCACGCTTGACTTCATGTGCTCCTGTGAAACGTACGTGACGTGCCAATCAGCAGAAGGATATATTATGAACCTCCATGAGTGCAGATTCCGCCGCACCGCAGTCGTTGCTAAAGGCGAGACGCTTTCCGACGTAGTCGCTTATGGGATAGCCTCCGTCTTTACGCCATTGGAGAAGAGGAGAAAAGGATACGCTCAGCACATGATGCGCCTGCTGCACTGGGCGATGGCTTCACGGTCTGCTCTTCCACCTTTCCCTGCTGCGTGGGGATCACCTCCCGAAGTCGCGAGCGACCTCCAGACTGGCGATGGAAGACTTTCCGTGCTCTATAGTGACGTAGGACATGCATTCTATCATGCTTGTGGAACCATTGCCGAGCCAGACAATGGCTGGATCAACAGGGGCTCCTATGAGACGGTGTGGCAGGGTGAGGGCATCAGTATAGAGCGTCAGGACGGCGAATATGCTCTACAATGGAAATGCTTGACAGAAGAGGATTTGGAGCTCGTATGGGCGCAGGATGCTGCGTGGATCAAGGGAGACATTTCCAGAGCCTCAAAGTCTTCGCCGCGGACACTCTTTACGTTCTTGCCTGACAAGGGTGTGGCGGCGTCCACCGTTCAGCGGACAATCACGTTCACCGCAGCTATGAAGCCAATCATGCAACTGGACACCTGGGGAGTTATCAATCTCCCGAAGGAGGGGACTACGTTGCAGGATGCTCTTTCAGGCAGCGAACCATCCTCATTTGCGACGTGGACACTGGACATCCTGGCATCCTCGCCGACGTTGGTGGTGACGAGAGCACGGGCCACAGTTCACACGTTTCCGGCACTTTTGCACGGGCTTATGGAGTTTGCACGAAAGCAGAGCATCAAGAGGATCGAAATATGGGGGCTGCCAGATAATTTGCTGTCCCTGGCGGATGAACAGGGATGGAGAACCAGACAGCGCGCAGAGCATCTATCAATGTTCAAGTGGTACGGAGAAGAAAAGGACGATGAAGTGGATTGGCTTTTCAACGAAAAGTGAGTGATTTGATTGGTGATGTTACGGTTTACGTTGACTCTATGGATAGGTTCTGCTGGTGCTGAATCTGAGATACCAGTGCGACTTGTTCAAGACAGTGTTATACCGCATCTCCCGTCATATAAACCTGTTACATTTGATAAATATCACTGAGAGCTGTCTCGACCGATCAGTGAAATGCTTGCATGACTAATCGCATACGTACAGAAATTGCGCGACCACACCAGAAGGCTCCTTGTATTGCGCAATAGGCGTGAACGGCAAATCGTACAGACTGCGTCGTGCCGCGTCAGCGTTTTCGCGTTTCACATTGTAGCAGATGACTGACCCAAACGCCGATGGCCCACCACAAGCCAGACCCTCCGGAGTGGTGGTCCACTTTGGCTCAGCCGCCATTGCAATGACGGTGACTCGTAGCCCATATCTTCAAGCAGCCCATCAGCATTGGACTGGAATGAAGACGGTGGCCATCCGTCTCACCGATAGTCAGGAGTTCCGAGAGCCGCGCCGTTCTGAGAGTCAACGACGGTGATCAAATCAGGTACCGTTACAAGGATCTTAAAAACCGTTCACGGTCAAACGCTCATAGATAAGCGGTGAGGTTGGCCAGCGCGTACCTTCTTATCGCCATTCGGGGACTCGACGTAAGCGTAGAGATTCTCGTTCTGGAACGGGATGATCAGCCGATCTTCGGGGCGGTATGCGTATGCTACGGGTGCGCTCGTCGCATCACCAGAGTCCTCTTCTTCGTCCTCGAGCAAGGGTACGATCGTGACTGATCCCCACGTGAACCCTTTCCGAACTTCCTATCGAAATGGCCACTCAGTGTGCTTATCTAATCGCCACAAGCTTCAAGAAACCATACCCGCTGCACATCCACGATCTTTCCGATGAACAAACAAGCTCCATTCTGCAGTTCCAGTATTGCCGCAGGGATGCCCTTCAGGTCATTCTTCTTCCGGCAGAGCGCGACTGCTCTTCCGATGTGCCAAGCCTGAGATACGCTGCGCGAGACTCCTGAAAGTAATCTTGTTTTGTGACGGCTTTCTGTGCCACGAATCACACGCACGTACCGTATTTTTGACAGTTAGACCGGGTGAGTGGTGCCATGCTAACCCCTGCCTTTGATCCCATCTCGGTCGCAACCGTGCGGAGAATCGTCTCGACAGACTTCGGGCTACTAGCTGTTGGCATGACCTGTGCGAATGTCAGATCGGCGCACCCTATCATGCGCTTGCCACGCATGACACTCACTACTGTATTGCCGATGCCATCAGCGACCGCACAGGGCCACAATCCGCCGGGGATGTTGAACGCGCCCGGTAGACTAATAAAAACAAGGCTCGGATGAACGTGATGGTAAGCGATGTCGTGCCGTCCACTCACGATTGATACATCTACGAGATGGCAGTGAATAGACTCGTTTATTTAAAAGCACGAGGGGACATACATTGGGATAGGCCCGTCCCATGAGGTCAGCGTCAAGGACCGTCTTGCCCATCTCCGCGGCCACGATCATAGGCTGCAGACCGTTTCCGCCACCGATTTCGTCTGAAACGACGCCTTTGAAATCCTTCAGGCCCATATAGGTCGTCAACGCATAGATCGAAGCTGGGATCTCACTCTCGCCCTGCAAGCGTTCCAGCTTCCCTTCTGGTCAGCCCGGCCATAGGTCACTCGCGCATGCTCAAGGGAATGGCATACCGAAACGCTGGGTGCGCCCTGTGCATAGGTCAGTCAGTGCACAGGATAAAGGAAGCCACACTTACCATGAACATGCAGCGCAAGAACACAGCATCCTCAGCCACATCATCAGGATCAACGACCTCAGGAAATATTGTTATGAGCCGACGTTGTAGAATGGGTATGTTCGCTTACAATGATCTCCTTCCCATCTCTAAGCAATTGGCGAGCCATGAGGAACGGCGGGTAAGTCGAGCCTCCTCCGCCTGTTCCCATAACACCGCAGCCTTCAGCAATCCACTCTGACAACGCGTTAGATCCAGCTGGTGATAATAGTTTGGAAGACTACCTAGATCGAGTTCGGTCAGGCTCCAGGAGCGATCTGTTCGGATGGTCGGCTTGTACGACTCTATGTCGATCTCTTGCTCGTCCGTGTCGTCCGGCAGGACTGCTTTCTCGCCTTCAGTTGGCTCATGAACGTTGGATAAGTCCAGTACGCCATTAGGCGCATTGACCGATGCCACGGCTTCGGGGGCCAGATCGCCTGCTGCTTTGACGATGATACGAGTGGCTTGGTTTGTCACGTACTACGAACTGTATGAGACATACTTTCGCCCATCTAGACCTGTGACTGCGCTGATCATGTACCTGAACGGGAAGATTGACCACTTCCACAATTTTCGTGGTGGCTAACAAACGAGTGTTCAGCAGGGTTTACAGGGATATCGATGAGCGAAACAGGGCATACCTGGGTCAGCACCGGCAGCGATAGCTTTCTCGATTGCTTGAGCCTTGATGCCCTCTATAACGTCGTGGATGTTCCGGTTTTGCAAAAGCTCAATGGTGTCTATCTCTCCAGCGACTGCATGTGAACATCGTCAATACGTTCAGCAGCCATGCCGTCATTCTGCAATGCGCCACTTGCCTTTAGCCATTGCTGCGCCGACAGCGTTCGCCACACTGAAGTACGGCGGTCGCAGGATCTCGCCTACACCGGATAGTTCATCAGGAGCAATGATGCTACCACCACCGACTAGAAGCACAATTATGTCTTCAGGAGACGTCTTCATCCTACCAACGATCAAGTTAGTGCCAACCTTTAGCATCATTAATAGACTCATACTTGTCAATGATCCCCTCCAGGTGCTTCTTTATTATCCGCGTTGCCTTCTGAATGACCTCACCGCCTGTTCCAGCGACCTGTTCCTTGCTCCCAACATCCGCACGCCCACTTGCGACGACAATATCCGTAGCAGTGAGCACGTCCCCACCGAACACTCGCGAATCTCGGGTCAAATAGTGTCCCACCGAGTCCGGACCAACCGAAACGTGCTTTCCCTTGGGCGTCTCGTGCACCTTCACGCGGGAGCCACCGCCAAGGCCGATCGACTGTACGTCCGCCATCGCAAAGTTGGTGCGCACGCCGCCGACTTCGATGAACGCGGCCGCCTGGCGCGGGAAGCCGGAGGGCAGGAGGACGCCCACGTCCGTCGTCGTCCCGCCGATGTCGGCCACGATGGTGGACTTGCGCTGCTGGGCGGTTTTGTGCTCGTCGAGCCCCGCGAGGAAGGCCGCGCCGCGCATCGAGTTTGTCGGGCCCGAGGCGAACGTGCGGATGGGCAGGCGTGCGGCGGAGGCGGCGGTTGTGAGGGTGCCGTCGTTCTGCGTGAGGAAGAGCGGGCATGAGAGGTTGAGGGCATGCATGGCGGTTTGGAAACTGCGGATGGTGCGCTGCGCAAAGATGAGGATGGATGCGTTTAGGATGGATGCGTTTTCTCTTTCTAGGAAGCCAACTTGGCCGACTGCACGAGGTCTTAGCGAAGGTACGCATGATCGAGAGGGACGGCGAACGTACCATCTCGTGAGCATACGACGTTCACAGAAGGGCCCAGCTCTCGCTGCACGATCTGCATGGCCGCAACCTCTTGCTTTCCATCGTTGTCGAGTGGGGAATAGATCCCACATAGAACGACCTACACAATGCGATCAGCTAGTCCACGCAACCTCGAGCATCACTACAAACGTTCTTCAATCCCTTGCTTCGGATAATAGCACACTGCTCTAGGATCTGTTCTTTCTTTATCGGGGCGATCTCACGACCATCGACTACAAGACGTCAGGAAACAATATGAGACACTCATGAAGCACACTGACTTTCAAATCCACCATCGACATATCCCGCATGTCCCTCCGTCAGCGCACGCAAGCGCGGAGGGAAGTCGATGAACGGCGGGCACTGCTTCGTATACGGGCCACACAAACGGATGACGGCCACCTTGGCGAGGCGTCGCGCGTCTGCCTCGAGCACAGCGTTTATGAACGCCGTGGTGCCGATACTGAGACACGACACGCGCTCTGGGTGAACCTTGGCGCGATGCAGCACCTCGCGCACGGCCGCTTCGATGCCATCTGAGACATCCGGGGTAGTAGGAGCCTTGTAAAATGCGAGAACGCCCCGCGATGGTTCATGCAGACAAGTGACATCGATGAGCACCCCATCGGTGTTCGTGCCTGTGGTTTGATTCTGTCAGCGATCCGATGCACTGATACGAATGGGAAAGTACGTCAAGAGTAGATGACATGTATGTATGTCTGAGAACTTTCATTGAATAGCACCGCAACCACACAGCCTCGCTGACAGCATAACAGTCAGCTAAAGTTCTGTCGTCCAGTACATGATAATATCGCGCTTTGTGGGGCATCACCATGATGATGCCAAGCGGACTCCATGCATGCCTCCGGTATTCAACCCTGAACTCTGTGCACGTCACTCACCTCCAACATCCACGCCGATCCGCAACATGGTCAGTTTCCAGTCGAGTGAGCTGCGGAGGTCAACGACCCATGGAGCTTTTATCGTGCTCGACTGAGGCTAACTACATCGATCAGAAGTCCAGGAGCCTAGTCAGAGATAACGAGTTCGGACAGAGTTGAATAGATAACACTCACTCGCAAACCATTACCCAGTGCGAGGGTCGGGGCGATATCAGGCAGTCCACATGTGCTGCGCGCGCACTCTGCAGTGAAGCTCACCGGTGACTGCGCTCAAATCGCGTCTGCGATTTATCCATATCTGCAGCCTGTCCACACTGATGAGGGAAATTCTCACTCTCCGTGGCCCGTTCTAGCCCCCATCGCAAGCCGAACCGAGCGGAAATGAAGCTTGCATCCCCATCAGCATTTCACACAATTCATAAATTGGCGAGGACCGCATACCGCGTCAACCTCGGAAATGAGTAGGAAATGAGTTCGAGGCAATAAGCTATTCAGCAGTCACCGCAATCTCGGGCCGCTCGAGCAACTGGACGTCGACAGTCGCCATCTGGGACTTCAGGCCACAAAACATCATGAATACACCAAGAAACACTGCCTAAATTTAATCTTTGCGCAATACTAGTACCAAACTAAATACGAGATACACAGTAGTACAACTTAAGGTCTATATAGTACTACGCTAGGCTATAGATCGGATCCAACGAGCTTCTACTGGAATACAGATCCTCCTCAGAACTTCTTCTGCACAAAGCCCTTCCCCGCATCCCACAGCGCACGCTCAACCTCGCGCATGCCCGCAAGGACCTTCTCCTCCTCCAACCGCCTACCAACAACCTGCACCGCGACCGGCAGCCCGTGCATCGCCGCCGCGTCGTACAGCCCATACACGCCCCGCGCGATGTCGTTCATCTCCGCATATCCATACTCCGCCGGCAGCGCGTCCCGCGTCGCGTCTACCGTCATTACTGGCTGCACGCCTGCCGCGTAGTCCAGCTGTGCGCGAAAATATGAGCGCAGAATGACCATCGACACAACACGCCCACGCACCACATTGAACAAAAACGCATAACTCGCCGACACCAGTGTCGCCGCGTCGCTTCCGCCCTTCGGTACCGCCGGGATTGCGTGCGGGACTGTCAGCAGGAAGTCCAGGTCTGCCATCGCTTCACCCCACGCCCGCTTGTACCGCTCCCGCTCTACGTTCAGCGCGTGCTCCCGTTCGACCGAACACGCGTTGAACACCTCCACCAGCGCCGCCCACGTGTCGTTCCGTCCCCACGGCCGCGAGCATGTCCGCAGCATGAACGCGAACAGGACCTTGATCCATAGCGGCAGCGAGAGCAACAGTAGCGCCGCCGCCTGTGCGCCATTCGTCGACTCGCCCCAGCGGCGCAAGGAGCGGAGGGACGCCCCTGGTTGCTAGTGAGCGGGCATTACTGCACGAGACCTTGTCCGACTCACCTCCGTCCGCGAACATAAGCTGGTAGCCGATCTTCAGGCCTTCAAGAATGGATGGGGGCTTGCTATACGAGCATCAGAATGAGTAGACGCACGCAACATGGCGCTTACAAGTCGACGACTTCATGTCCCGCACGGCGAAGTGCGGCAACCGTTTCCGCGAGCGCACGGGTGCATGCGGGCGATGGAGGCACAATGCCTGAGACGCAGACCGTCAGCCAGTTTCAGCCACGAACAAGAATAGAGTACGCACCGTCGGACCAGATCACACCCCACTTCGGCTTCCGTCCGCTCAGCACAAAGTCCACCGTCCGCCATGGCAAAGGCACACACGTGTGATCGTACATCCACGGGCGCATCTCCACCACGCGCTGCCAAAACTCCTGCAGGTCGTCGAGCGTGCGAGCGATCGGCGACGTCACCGTTGGCGCGGACTCCTGCCCGGGCAGGCACGGCACGCAGCCGTCTGACGGGAAGCGGCCCACGGAGGACTTGACGGAGTATACACCGCAATATGCGGCCGGAAAGCGCGTGCTCCCGCCGATGTCAGTGCCAATCTCGACGACGCTGCCCTGGTACGCAACCAGCACAGCGCCGCCGCCTGTCGACGCGCCCGGCGAGAATGCTGGATTGTACGGATTTGTCGTCTCACCGAACAGGTCGGATGTCGTCTCGAAGGATAGCAGACCCGTCGGCACCGTCGTCTTGGTGTGAATAAGCGCTCCGGCATCGCGGAGGAGGCGCACGATTGGTGCGGACTCCTCCACGGGGCGGCCGACGTTGCGCGAGTAGCCGAGGGTGGTGTCGTGGCCTGCGACGTCGATGCAATCCTTAAGGCTCACGACGACGCCGGTGAGTGGTCGGTGCAGCGGCGGAACGCGCTCAGCCTCGTGAAACATGATGTCGGACAGGCAGTTGGTCGCGTCCTGGGCCAGAAGAGCGCGCTTGCCATAGGCGTGCAGGATATCTCGTGGGCAGAGGGTGCGGGCGTTGCACTCGTCGACGATCTGTGCGAGGGAGAGGGCGAGAATCTTGCGGTCGTCGTCTGTGAGTGGATCCGAGTAAACCGGGGGAAGACGTGCTCGCGTCGCCATGCGCTCGTTCTGCTTCCTGGCGCTAGCAGCGAGAAGGAGGTCACAAGATAGGGGCAGGGGCGGGAAAAAGTGCAGCTCACCAATCGGCGCGGTGCTGATGGGAGACGAACATGGTAGTCTCACTTTAAGGAGAGTGAAGAGGCGAATATAGACAGTGACAATGTTGTTTGGTCACGGGCTCGTCTGGATATGAAGAGGAGGGGGGGTCATGAAGGGCATGGCGAGGTCGGGGTGCGGGAGGCTGGGCGAGAAATATAGGACGGGGCGAGGGAGAGAGAATGACTGGCGCCGGAAAAGGGAGCTATCAGCTAGCCGCACTGAGCTAGCACTGAGCCCATTCAGATTTACGTACACCGGCGCGTCGCCCGCAAGCGCCCAACCCTCCCTGCCTCCTTTCCCGATCCTTCGCCGGACCTGCAGGAACTCTTCAGCGGAGCGATCGCAGTGAGTGGCTGCGTGTGTAATCTGCGCAGGAATCCGACTAAATGCGGTATTGCCATCGAGAGGGGTATTTGAATGAAAGGCATGCATGGATGTGGCATGGGCCGGTTGTCGATTACTATAGTATTAGCATCCGCGACGGTTGGTTAATTCAGGCACCTTGCACAGCCCGTAGCATGCCAGCGAGCATCCGGGAGCGTGCCATCGAAAGGACAGCACCGGGAGAAACAGTGCACCCTGCTCGGCCTCCTTGGTCCGTGCCCGTCCGGCGGCCAGGTTTGGTGAGAAAACATTGACATTTGATCGCATGAGCCCTCATGCTCGCAGATAGGGTGCCCAGCGCGGTCTTGTTCTCTGGTGTTGCACTAGACCATTCGCGTCTAAATGGCTGTACGATATTAGCGGAGCTCGCTTGAGCCATCAACGTCGGCGGCAAGCTCACTGCGGGCACGGACCTCTAATTTCCGTCACGGTAGACGGATATGGCAAAGCGTCACGCGACCGATGTGTGGCGGTGCCGGCTGGCATTGCGAGCTTGTGGGAGAACTGACGCATACATGTCGAATAGACGTCGCCAACAGTTGCCAACCTTCGCCAACGTTGCAGCTGCGTGGAGGGAGGAAGTTCAGGTGCAAGTCCGTAAGCCCGGGCTGCTGGTACACAAACAGCAAACATACACAAACAACGCGTACGCTAGCGTTACGACGCGTCGCGTCACACGTACGATGTCACACCCGACCGTTGTGATTTCACCATCATCCAAGATGTACAACTCGACGCTGCTCTCTTCGCCCTCGACGCCGCCGCGCTCGAGCACCCTTCGGCAGTTCTCCTCGCTTCCCGTTGCACACCAACCGCTAAACTCGTCCCCGCTGGCCTCCTCCATCCCCTCCTCGCCCACCTCTTCTCCCGGTGCTGAAGCCTACGCGCGCCGCCGCGCCCAGTACAAGGCGCATAGGTCCAGCTCTCCGACTCCGGAACGCACGAAACGGAGTCAGAAACAACAGCGACGGGTTACGCTTCCGTCGTCGTTCCCGGTTTCTCTCACGGACACCGCTACGCCCACGGAAGAGGCGCCACGGACAACATTCCTTCGCGAGCGGTTCCGGGCGAGGTGCTTGGAACGCGCACAGCGGGATCGGGAGAGAAAGATTAGGAGGCGGAGAGGCCAGGACAGCAGTGATGGTGACGATGAGCTCATGGATGGTGGCGACGAGGAGGAGGAAGAGGAATTCATGAACGATGAGGTGCGTGCTGCTAGTCATGTCGCGTCGCATGAGAATATATTTACATCTGTTACTGCTCCTTAGCTGTTCCACCGGCTCGTCTCAAGCAGCAAGCGTAAGCAACAGCACCAGTACCGGCTGTCGTACGCATACGACGTTGGCTCGTCATTCGATCCCGATATGGAGAACGGCGCCGAGTGGGAGCACGAACTCGATGAACGAGAAGCTGAACAGGCACAAGGCGCGCACATTGTCCGGTCTCCTTCTCATGTGGATATTTATCTTTCCCGTACATGCGCTCTTCAGAACCACTCAGCACGACACCCGCGGATCTTGACGAGGAGGAGCTCGTGGAATATGCGGAGTATTACGAATTGCATCTCGAAGACCTTCGCCCAGAGGACCTCTTCAGCGTGAGCGACGTGGAGGACTATGGAGTATCTGAAGATGCAGACGAGAACACGTCACCGAAGGGCAAGACCAAGGCAAAGGAGGTCGTGCAATCTGTTCAGGATGCCGATGTCGACATGGATGTGTGAGATGCTTCACGAGATGTTGATAGAGAGCTGCGCTCAACAGGTGGCTCGGGATGTGTACGTTGCAATGTATTTGTATCTCATTTGATAGATCACTTCGCTTTACAGACAGACTCAGGCAGAGAGAACGAAGCTACATGTGTTACAGCCATTGTTATGCGCGTAATAAAAACAGTCACTGTGGTATATTGCAAACCAGTTGCGGACTGTGACCTATCCGTCGTGCACAATTATTCCCCGGCTCATAAAAATGCATCGATGCAGACCGGCGTCGCCAGTTATTCAACGGGGCCGCGGCCGGACGAGCATAATCCGCTTCCCAACGAGGATCGCGAACTTGCCCAACCGAGCAAGCACAGCTATTCAAACTTCCCGTGGCATATCCGCAACACGCTGCTCGCTTCCGATCTCCGAGGCTAAACGGGTCATTGCTTGAGCCATGTAAGAACGCGCAGAATGATTGCCATACCGGTGGCGGGGATCATTCGAGTCAAGGGTCACCGTGGCCCGGCTACTCGCACATTCCCTGGGAGTTCGAAAAAGGATCCGCAATTGTTCGGCACCCGTGGGACGTGCTGTGCTAGGAGGAATAGATCTGCTGCCGTTATCCACTGGCGGTACCGCAGCAGTAATGTTTCACCTTCACATGCGCCGTGGCCTTGCTATGTCAGTTCTTGTAGCTCCACCAATTTATTTGGAATGAGAGTACACATTGCTTGACCGAAAGATGAGGATGAGCAGCACGGCACGGCGCGATGCATCCACTAGCGTGTACGCCGGTGGCTATATGCGCGACGTTCTTGTTCGCCATTACACGGTTGCCGCATGAGCGGAAAAAAAAACGTTTCACGTGCGCCGCAACTCCGGCTTTTACGGCCACGCTGGGACTGATGCAATCACAATGCACAACTTACGGCGTCCAGAAGGAACAGCATTATCATTTGACCAAACATGCCAAGAGACATGCCGTAACGAATTCGCCGAATGACAGGCAACACCGCGGCCGGATCGTTCGGAGAACCACACTGAGGATTCCGTTCGCTATCAGTGATTCGTGTATCTCGCTGAGCGACGCATCGACGAAGTCCACGGCCTTTCGGAACATGCGCGGAATCGCGCTTGGAGCGGGTGATAGGTAGCTCCGCGGTCAAGCTCCAGGCGCTAGGTAGCTCCGCGGTCAAGACGCAGTTCGTCTGAGAAATCCCCAGTGTGGCCGCAATAGAAGGATGGTGAATGATCTGCGCACCGCGAGCAATCGAGGAGAATCGCATCCTGGGCTGGAAATAAGTCCGGCGAGAACGGATATGTACACGCCATGAGGTACGGTGAGGGTGGAGAGAACAGCGCGATGGGGGCATCTAGAAACCATTGGTATCTAGTTTGAATTTGCATGGTGCACGTCGTTGCAAAGCGCCATTGGGCGATATATCCGTACTGTATAATTATTGCCTCGAAACGTATGGCGGCAAAGTAGTCCAGACTGCACTACGGGCTTTTGGTGCTGCTATTGCTGTTATCAAGCTGCCGGACGAAAGTCAGCTGTGGAAGCCGCTCGTCATTGATATCGCAACCTTTTACGTCGTTTGTATCAGCCAAATTGTGTGGTCCGCTTGAAAGCATTTCCAATCGTACCGGGAGCCGCAGCCATGGGAGTGGACAATTGATAGTCCAAGCTACGTTGCGGAATGATGGGCGTTGAATACTCGGCGTTCACTCACAAGATAAAGAGCCACATGCTGTACAGGACATAAGACGGCACAAGCACGAATCCATCCAATGGGGGTGAGGAGGCGTCGCGGGCTGGGCACAAGTTAGCTATCAGTCCCGTATTGATCGCCGTTCCACACGGCTGGCTCGACCGTGGTCCATGAAAAAGCAAATTCGTGAGCGCATTTCATAGCGTGCGAGCTGCTATAGCAACTTGACTCTTTCAATGGGGCTGAGCATCTTATGTCATGGCGGGGTTTGTTGACCAGGTACCAGGAAGACATGTTGCCGTAACAGATTCACCGGGTGATAAGCAGCAGTAGGACAAAAGGCTCGTTCCAGTCATTGTGATTTGTAAGTATAAGAACGTGTCCTATCAGGTGAGAATGTCATCTGTCCACAGACCTTACAGTTGATCGTGCACGGACTCCCGAGCTGGATGACACGGTGAGAATGAGACTTACCGGAATATCTGATGTCAGAAGGAACATGGATTCCTTGTGTGTCACCTCAAACTATAAGAGACTCTGAATCAAAAGGAGGGGGTTTCTTTGAAAAGATGGGGGAGGGGTGCTTGCGCCCCGGGAGACTGGAGTAGACATCCGGTTGTGGCCCGTCACGGCATGTCACATTCATGTCACCACTCGTCACAGCTGTGTCAGGATACCGCAGTAACGCATCGAGCATCTCAGTAAGCCTCTCTGGACTCCTTCACCGGTGTTCCCTAACTTTTGCTGCCTGACTCCTTTGTTCCTTGCGTGTGTGCAGCTTCACAACCCGGAGACCGTCCTTGAAGTCACTGTTCCCGTGAAGTGTTGAAAGATGGCCTCAGCATACTACGAGTTCTATCGTGGCTCCTCGTAAGTTGCATCTTATCCAGGATAGTATTAATATGAGTTGACTGGGGCGGCCGATAGTATTGGCATGGCGTTAACAGACTCGCTGGACGAGCTCATCACAAGTGGGGCCATCACCCCTCAACTGGCTATGAAGGTGTTGCAGCAGGTCCTGTGGCGTTCCCTTGCACATTCCGTGCTGCTCCGCGACTGATGGGAATGGCACGTTTCCAGTTCGACAAATCCCTCGCAGACACGATGGTAAAGTCAGTCAAGATAAAGACAACGCTCAAGGTGCGTGCGCTTACTCACTCGAACGATGCTCTGGATCCGAGCGAGTGCCCATTCGCCGTGCAGGGCCACTTGCACACGTACCGCCTGTGCGACGACGTCTGGACATTCATCGTGAAGAACCCGTCCTTCAAAATGGAGGGCAACGAGATCGTCACAGCGCCAAAGATCAAGATCGTGGCGTGCAAGAATGGCGACGCGCTCGAGAACGGGAAGAAATGAATGTGACCGGTCCTCTGCACGGTCCGTTTCCCCCCTCCTCACTCATCGTCCGGCCGTTCATTTCGTCCTTGCATGTCTGAAAGAAGCTAGCGTGCTCTTTCTATTTTACTCTCCACCGCACGCATCTGTGTCGATATCAGTAGTATTGCATGTATTATAAATGCCATTTTTGTAGATGCAATCCTCTTTTGTTGGACACCCTATTACTGGTCTCAGGGGGTGTGTATAGAAGATTACCACTTGCTTGTTATACATATTCTGGGGAGTCGTTAAAAGTATACCAGAGCAACATCATGCGCGACGAAAGCAAGACCACAGAATACGAAGTCCAATACCATGAAATAAGCTTTGTACGGCGGGTCCCAAGATCCACAAACAACAGACCATTCAGAACCCGAAAACAGAAACTAGCCAGCATTCATAGATAGGGATAAGGACTCCTTGGCGAGCTATTAAACCGCACTAAGCATACTATTGCCAAACGCGTGCACGAGAACCAGGCTCACCCCTCAAACACGGGTTCCGTACACACCACATCGTCAATCCTCGTTTTCAAATACTTCAGCACATCCGGGCCCAGTGTCACGCAGTCATACAACTCCAGATGCTTGAGCCGCGCAGGGCCGACCATCGAGCTCGCGTTAGACCCGCCGTTGAGATCGGGATTGCGCGCCTCGACCATTTGCACCAATTTCATGACGCCGTCGCAGTGCGTATGGCACGCGCGCATCGCAAGCGCGGTCAAGTTCGGGCACACCCAGTGACCCGGCTGGCCCTCATCGTCCTGCCCGCCGAGCGTCGTCAACAGCGGCTCGAACGGCGCGCTCCCGACCTGCAGCGTACGCAAGTGATCGAGCTCGTTCAAAAAGTGCCACGTCGCGACGCCCGCGCCGCCGCCATAGTAGAACGAGTGCGGGGACGCGCTCAGGCCATACGCGATGGAGAGGCGCGTGATCGGCGGGCTGTTGCAGCGCATGATGAGCGAAGAGACGGTGTCCTCGATTGGCTCGCGCGCGTCGATGTCGAGGATGAGGGTGTCGAGGGTGGGGAGGATCAGTGCGTCGATGAGGCTGGAAAGCAGGTAATTCCCGCTGAGCGTCAGGGACCTGAGCTCGGGAAGCGTCGTCGCGGTTAGGGGCAGTACAGGCGGTGTCGGCGAGTTGAAGTGCAAGGTGAGCGATTCGAGCTGTGGGCTCGCCGCGATCATGAACATTACACGATCGAGTGCAAGGTGCACCGTCGGGAGCGCACGAATGGACAATGAGCGTAGGTTGCGAAGCATAGGCGACGACCACTTGAACGGCACGTTGTGCAGAGTGAGGGTGGTCAAGGTCGGCATGTCGAACGTCGTGTTCGCCGGCGCTGACGGGAGCCATTTCCAGTCGCCGTAAAACGCCGCCTCTGCAGACGACACCTCGAATTCTCGCAACAACGGTGCATCCCCTATTCAAACACATGAGTCAACGTCGTCTTCGTTCGCGCAATCGCTTTACTCACCCTCAATAGACTTCAACGCATTGATCGACGAGAACTGCTTATCAAACCTGAACACGAATCGCTCCCATCGATGCATCTGCTCGACCAAATAGAAAAACACGATATGGCCCCAATGCTGGTTCTTCTTCGATGAGCGCTGTTGCTGCTGCTGTTGCAAATTCGCTCTCTCCACTGCAGCGGCCGAGACCAGCGGAGGCATACCCCACAAATCGTCCTGCGCCTGTGTCGCTGTCGCACTCACCATGCCCGGCGCGTTCGTCAGAAGCATACCTGCTCCGCCGCCTGCACCTTGGATCGGGAAGATGTGGATGCCCGGCGTCTGCGGCACCTGCACGTACGCCGCAGCGGCGTTCGCACCGCCGGCGCCGCCGTGAGTAGCACCAGTAGGCGGAGGCGTCCATCCCCATTCTGCAAGTGTTTGAGAGGCAAGATGCGATACGCGCTTGCGTGGAAGGGACTCGAGAGTACTTGACGGGACGGCTTGCGTGCGAAGGACAATCTCGATGTCTAGAGGAACAGTGCGGCCTGAGCGTTCGAGCCAGAGCCGGATGGTATCGGCTGATGTCGTCTGCGTGGTGACAAGACGTATCTGAGGTAGAAGTCAGTACTCTGAAATAGGGTAGAGATGGCCGGGTCTTGAACAACGCATATATCCACTATGCGCACGAACAGCGCATGCACGAAGAGAAGCAATCGCAACTTTGGCTTATATGGATGACTTTAGACCAAGCGCATATACTCGAGTGAACGAAAAGTGCAGCGCAACAGAGTGATCTTTCCTGATGTTGCTTCAACACTCACCTTGGACCACATCACTGGCATAGACAGCACCATCCTGCGCCACAGCGAGCATACCGCAGACAGAACCCACGCACAGCACGGGTGCTCATCGAAGTTGAGCATAAAGATATGGCGCAGCAGTTCATGCGGCAATCGTTTGATCGGTGAGATGTACGCAAGGGTGAGAGTGATTTTCTTCTCCAATGCTGCACGCTCGCACTCCAGCTCTCGGATCGCGTTGCGCGACTCTTCAACGATGCGCGCGAGTTCATTCTCCGCGGTTTGGATCTTGTGAGAGAGCTCCTGTACGGAGAGACGGTGTTCGACAAGTTCGAGGCGGGCGCACGCGAGCGATGTTTTCGTCGGTGGATCGGTATAGAGAGGGTTGGACATGATGAGGAGGGAGGAGGAGAGCGTCGGTATAATGAAGGAGAGTTAGCGAGAACAATTGGTGCACGGGCCTCGTGTGATTCGGCCAGCACAGCCGGGGTGATCTGTTGCGATGACGGCCACGCGGCTAGACGCGGCCGTAAGTGAACTCAAATGGAGTCCTTCCCGCGATGATGCCTGCAACCAACCTTACCTACACCTCACGGACTCTGCAAAAATGAGAGGAAAATGGGCAGCTTATGCAGGTCGGCGACTTGACCCTGGATTTAAGGAGAGGAACTTGAAGGCCGATAGATAAAGCTGTAAGTACATTATCCTGAGGCTATGTAGCACAGCTATATTCGGATGCTTTCACAGGTAGATTTTAAGGTCCAAGTGCCAAGGACACTGCTTGGATCGGCTTTGCCGAGCAGAAGGCGGTTCAAGATCTTGCCTGGTCATCGACAGTATAGATCTACATCCTTCAAAAGGCCGATCACGGAATATACGGCAACGGGCCAACCACTCGGCAGTACACACATAGCACGCTGCACTACATCACTGAGTCGTTCTCGAGACAATCCTTCGGGTAGACTTTGTTGAGCTCTTCAAGGGTTCAAGATAACATAAACGGAAACAGACAGTGCCTTTATCGGGCACGTAGGAGAACGTTCGAGTCATTTTCACGACGAGCGTTATGCCAACTTTGAAACGGCGCTCGCTGGTGTCAGTTGTAATACTCACTGTCATTTTGTTATGCCACCGCGTGGACAATCCCGAGACTGCATGCGCTTCTTCATGACTTACTCAAGCGATCCATTGTCTCTGGATCCGTGAAAGCGCGAAGACGGTCCATTTCACTTTACTCGACTCGGATTGGAAGTCCAGGGATTCCACTGCAAGTTTCCGTGCAGCGTGAGGTCCGCAATGTACTTCCTTGTGAATATCGGCAAAGGTCGACACCGCATCCTGCCTCCCCTTCAAGTTGTCTTTATCCGCATCAGCAGTCATTACATCGACTACGACGTAAGAGGATGGTAGCACTTGTTGAAATTGAGCGACATCACCGCGAAACGCCCAAGATACTGCGGCTCGATCCTGGCAGGAGATAACGCTTCTCCGGACTGCGCCTCTTCAAAGCCTCAAAGATCCATCGATAATCGGTACCCGCGGACTCAAAAAAGGCCGATCCACACGTCTTTAGCCGAGCTTCGATTGAACATTGTCTGAATATTGACGGAAGATGTCCATGAGCGGCGTTACACTGAAATGCGAAGGCGATACCTCTCAGCACCACAGTGGTCTTACCAATTGTCTCAGTTGACAATGGCTATAAGAACCCGCCTCCTCTCGTTGCCACTGCGTAGCTGCCACTACGTCGATTGCGAGCCGATAGGCAGGACATCAAACACAACTCATGCTGCCAGGCTCTTTGACGCCGTCCGAGGTCGCAGAGAATATTCGTGAGTCAGCTAATCACCCATAGTGGAAGTTCTCGTTCACTTCCACTTTACAGTCAACCACCAGTTTGCTGTCGCGGCCGTCAGCTTTCTTCTGTATGATACCGTTATCCATATTGGTGATGAGGTGTGTCCGCAAACTGGTACCTTTCTTGCTTGGCTAAGAATGAACGTCCGAACAGATCCAGTATATCTGGCGGTATGCTATAATGGAGTTATAAGCAAAAACAACCTGGGTTTTCATATTCTGTATGGACTACAGGGGTAAAAAAAATCTCATCACATGTGCTTACGTTTCGATGCGACATATACCCTACATTGCACAATTGTCAGTACAATTTACCTGAATGCTACGTTGATTATGTTTGATAGCTTCCTTCGCAGGTCAACCCTAATCTTCTTCTTCCAACTGGAAGCCGGTCGCGATCATTCTCCGACACTGTGTCATGGCCTTATCGCATACCAACTTGGTGTCAACCAGGCTGTGACAATCATTGTTGAGGCAATTCTTCTGATGCGCAGTAAGTCAGTTGAAACTTGTCTCCATAATGCACACAAGGATGCTCAACAACGGCGATGGAACAAGTCTATGCACTCTTCAAACAAAACATTATGGTCATAATCAGCGTTCTCGTACTGTTTACGGCGGAAATTGCCGCTATGATCACGATTCTGGCGCTCGGCGTCCCGAAAATCGAGTTCAACTCGGTATGTTTGGTTAGGAGCATACCATCAATCATGACCCCATACTGGTGTGTATTTCTGAGGCCAGCGTACCAAACAACTCATTGTGATTGTGAACACACCCGCAGGGCACTGTCGCTTATTTTTGAAACAGCGCTGTTTGCCCTTACATTGTACAAGTTTCTCACAGATTATGTCAAAGGACAACACTCAATCCTGACGCTGATCATCCGTGATGGCACATGGGCTTATGCAGCCATCTTTGGTGAGCATGATTGCATTGAAAATGCCCCGGAATACCAATCCATCACGTCAGTGGCTATGCTTGTCAACACGCTTTTGTATCGATTGGTCCACAACTCTTTAGCCGGACTCTGCTTCGCGTGAGCTTCAATATCCGGGACAGTCTATTTGTACTAACTGCATAGCATATAGCTGGGAGTCTGCTATCATATCAACAGTGGTACGTCTAAAAAGTCACTCAAGATTGCTGGATCTCTTACACCTGTCATAGGGATCGCACATTCTACTCAATTTGAGGCGATTTGGAGCGCAATGTGTGCATTCGTCAAGATCTGTTAGGAAGCTGAGCGAGGCCAGTTCCATATCTTTCGCGACACCTCTCCAACGGCCATCGCATTTCAATCATTCTTTGGAGGAAGGTGTGACGGATGGATTGCGCGAGTTGGAAGATTTTTGCAGCGCAACGTCCAGCGATGATCGCTTTGGGCCTTGATGACTGGTTAATGAATATTTGGTCCCTTCTACGGTATTTGGGTTACGTCCGCACTACGTATAGACACTGTTAACGGCTCTCAGACTCTGCGCGTCGGCGATAGCTCGGCCTCGCTAAGCTTTCACGTGCAGCGCAGCGTGCTTGTGTATCCGTAGTACGTACATGGTGGATGGAAGTGCTGGTACAAATCGAACTCCACGTCACCGCGGCTGCCGTTCACACAGCTTGCTAGAGAGAGTTAGCGAGAACAATTGCACGAGCCTCGTGTAGCCTGCGTCCTGGGAGATTCGGCCAGCACAGCCGGCGGGATCTGTTTTGATGACGGCTACGCGGCCCAACGCGGTTGTCGGACAAACTTGAATGGAGTCCTTCCCGCGATGACGACTTATACCTCACGAATTCTGCAGAAAATCAGAGGAGGTGTGAAGACAATGGGCAGGCTCATGACTAGAGGAAGATGGCTCCGGATACCGAGGAGAGGAAGGCCGATAGATAAACTTGTGAGTGTTGAGAAAGCCGAACCTCACGACCGAGGCTCGAGGACAAGCCGAGGTACCGAGGCCCTCACAAACGAGAGTCCGGACCAATGTGGCTGAGGGATTAGATAATATTTCCTAATGTGTACATGTATATATAAAGGAATGCCATATCGGGAAGATCCGCATCATCCTTCATCCCGGACGCTCACCCCGTGTTCTGTGTTCCCAATCTGAGGCTTAATAGGTTATGAGCCCCAGGCTTTCGGATTAACCTCGAACCTTATCGATTGATTGCTCTGACATCATTACTTGGCAACATGGCTGAAGAGAAAGAGAGATTGTTGTACCTGCACATTGAGCCCCTAAAAGAAGACACTTGGATGCCCTGAAAGACCAAGATGGAGGCCATCCTCGATGATAAAGGGCTCTTGCCCTGGATTAAGGGCAAGAAGAAGAAGCCCGAGATCCAAATTGTCGGAGACCCCGAAGAGATCCAAGTGCGTGAAGATGAGATCAAAGAATGGGAAAAGAAAGACCATTCCGCACGCACCATTATCACGATCAATCTCGGCAACAACCAGATTGTGAATGTGACAGGTGCGACATCTGCTCGAGACATGTGAAAGAAACTCCACATGGTTAAGGAGCAACGCGGGCAAAGCGGTATCGATTCTCTCATTCGACGTCTCTACTGTACATATGCGGGCGAAGGAGACAACATCGGGAAACATATGAAGGAGTTATGCAAGATCTAAGAAGAGCTACATGTCATGGGAAATGAGATTGACGACAAGCAATCTCATAATGTCATTGTCACCTCATTGCCTGATAGCTGGAAGACGTTCACGGACACCTATTTCAGATTCTGAGGTGAGCTCATCGATAGTGACGATGAGGAGAGAGAGGAACAGAGGCGAGAGAGAGAGAGAGGAAGAGGAACATAACCATGCAACAACTCATTGGGATAGTTCTCGATGAGTGACGCTGCCGCAAAGATCACGATCTGAGCTCGGAAACAGATCAAGCAATGATAGCCACTCACGGGAAGAGGAAGCGTTCCTCGGAGTGCCTGAAGAATCTCGGAGCTAAAGCTGAGTCCTCAGACAATGCGATCATCTGTCCCAACTGCGACAAGCCATGTCACACCAAAGCCAAATGCTTTGCTAAGGGAGGCAGAAAGAAAGGCCAGTGGCTGCAGTGGTGGAAGAGACCTGATGAAAAGAGGCAGAAAAGAGTGGATCGCACCAACAAGGGTGAAGGATCCTCGAAGGGCAAAAAACACGCATTTGTAGTGCATGATTCTAATGAAGATCAGAACACTGTATCCGTAGGTGATTCTGATGAAGATATTTCTTCATTTTATTCGTGGATTGCTGATACAGCGACGACCTCACATGTCACAAACTGACGTGAGATCTTCACATCGTATTAAGCGCTTGAGAATCATGCCATCTCTGGATTAAATCCAGGGAGCTTAGCGGCAGTTGGCCGTGGCTCTGTAGATCTCGAAAGCACATTTGGAGATCAAAAAGTGCGATTCTGACTCACAATGTGCTATATGTGCTGCAGGCACACCACAACTTAATTTCGCTTGGGTAGTCGCATTGTTGCAGAAAATAAAAGAGCTATTCTCACTGATAAAAATGAGAAGACGTTGGTGTCACAGATTTTCATCACAAAGTCCACACGTAACTTTTCTCATGCCACAGATCATGTGCTTCACCAATATCTCACGCCACTCAGCCACAGACGTGACACGTAGAGATCAGGTGATAGTCCACATCACATGCTATGGTTCAGACTCACGGATGATACGGTCGGACCTGTCTATTCCAGGATACCATAGAGGCACCCATTTGGGAACAAAGGGAACAAGGACTATTGTTATACATCGGACTCCCGCTTTCTATTAGTTTAGCCAGAAGCCAAGATAAGCACGATGTTCACACCAGAGAACAAAAGGGAAACCAAGATAGGCACGATGTTCACATGCGCTACTGCGGCAACCATCGATCTTTCCACTTATTGTTCTACTCCTGGACATTCCATTGCTTCATGTATGGCCATTAGCTTATACCCGTAGATAGGTAGCTTAGGTAAGATAGCCCGCTGTACGTGTATATAAGACCAGCTATGTAGAGGACGAAACTTCAGATTGTTTCTCCTCGTCTACTACCGTAGCACTTACTGAGCCTAACCAGCTCCTACATATATCTCTCACCCTCTGCTACGCTTGCTTCATCAACAAGTAAGTCATAGGCTCTTGTGCCACTTGAGGGTTCAGGAGAATCATTTGGGATCAGGGGGATCAGGACGGCACGTTCCTCATGACCGTTCCTTTTTAGTCTCTTTGTTCTCTCGTCCAGCGGTGCTGTGACATTAGAAACAATCTGACAATTTTCTGCGCCCCTGCTTAGTGTCTAACACAAGTGGTCATGTATTTTCAGTGCAAGCAGCTCTGAGCTGCCCAAGGCACCAAAGTGCAAGGCCACCCCCAGGAGTGATCTCGACGCTCACTACAAGCATCAGGAAACCAACAAGGAGTGCGGAAGGCTCCTCACACTTGCATCATTAGGCACATCATCCACAGACAGGCAGCGTGCTGCAGCAAGGGTTGTCGACACCACCCACATCATAAAGTAGGGAATCATCTGCAAGCCCCGTGATTGCACCCCACCACTTGAACGCTACAAACCTAGATGCGGATGTCTTACCATGGGTGGTCGCAAGCCAGCGCCACCCCCAGAGCTCATCACATCCAACACAATTCTCCCTCCGTCATTGCTCCCATCCCAGTTCAGCCCCTCCTGAACTTTATAAAGACCAACACCGTTGCACATCCCATTCGCCCACTTCCATCTAGAGTCAGGCTAACAATCCATATCGAGACACTCACAAAGCAGGTAGATGCTACCCGCTTCAGGCTCCAGCTAATACTAGGAGTGTTCTTGTATCGTCTCAAGGACGAGCACTAGGGACCTATCTACAGCCTCACTACAGAACTCGACAAGGTCTGCACTGACCTACACACTGGAACGTGCACCTACATGTTCATCGAAAAGCAGGTCATCAATACGGTCTGTCTGGAGATAGGAAGCATCAGCTTCAAGCAGATAGGAAAGGAAGAGAGGCTACAGGAGATCATCAAGGCTCTGGTTTTCATCGCAAAGAAGCGATACCTGAACTTTTTGTATTAGTTTACATATCTTTATGTCGCAATGGAAGAAGCTGATCGTGCATATGCGTCTACATTCAGACAGAGGATGGAAGACATACTCCACCCCAACATCGAAACAGCACATGATGGAAGCACTCCGCAAGCATCGCAACGCAACTCACCTGAGCCTGGGCTAGGTTCCCAGGACTCTGCATCGCGAATCAGAGGACCCACATCCCCGACACCATCACTTTTACCTGCATATGTCTCTCTCACTTGGGAGTTTGATGGGCACCAATTCGAGCATCTAGAAGATGCGCTGAGGCAGTCCACGCCCGGAGAAGTCCTGGATCATATCCGTGAATGGGTCATAGTCGCAATGAAGCTCACTGTCCACACGGAAGTCGTGAAGGTTTACAATGTGCTCGAAAACAAGCTATACGAGCATAAAAGGGCCTTCGACTCCATCATCCAGAACAACAAGAGCGAGCATCGATTAAAGGAGGCAGTCCTCTAGACAGAAATTGGAAAGCTTAGTGATAGGATCCTCGTGCAAGACATGCACATAACGGTTTTAAACAACGAGCTTGCCAGGATGCAAGCGGCAATGCTGGATATCAGAAAAGAGATGATGGAAGTCAAGTCCGCAAACACCAAGCTGCAGCATGAGCTAGCTTTACTCAAAGCAAGCAGTGTCATGGTGATGCAAGGTCACACCTCCGGCATGGTCCAATCGAACAGGCCCTGTGTCAAAATTGCCGAACCTCCACACTACTCGGGCAAAGGAAGTCTGGAGGATTGGCTCCAATAACTCGGCATATGGATGCGGTGGAATGAGATCAACGATGACGAGCATAAAATTACCACAGCCCTGCTACACTTGGAAGGTGGTGCATTCACCTACATGTCCAAATACATGACCAAGGCAGCGGCACAGCAATCACTCAGTACATGGAACGACTTTGTCGACGTTCTCAAGGTTAACTACAGGACCCTCAACCCAGACAAGGATGCGCAACAACATTTGAAGGAAATCTGCACAAAGACCTACCCAACTATGGTTTCCTTCACAGAAAAGTTCCACCAATGGGCCACCAAGACTAACTTAGGGCACACTGCACTCATCGGTTACATCACTGAACATCGTGACAAGGACGTGCACCAAGCAATGGTGACACGAGACAGTCTAGGAATCGCTGACCCCACCACATGGCCAGAATACCTCGACTTATGTATGTCTTCAATTGGAGTCCAAGTTCAGAGCCGACAAGGCAGGACAGCGCAGAACAATGGCACCATCGTCACAAGCACCTAAACCTTGAAAAGACCCCAACGCAATGGATGTGGATCGAGTATTCACCCTCACCAAGGAGCAAGAAGGATGGCTGGAAAAGAAGCTGTGCGTATGATGCAGGAAACACCCCTTCATTTTTAAACAGCAATGCCCAGACCCCAAGTATAAAGGCAAATTCGAAATGCCAAAACGGGGACAAGCAACAAGGGCAATATCAACAACGGCATCATCAACAAGCTTCGACGACAGCAAGGCGAGAGAGGAAGCAGCCCATGCTTTCATCACCAGCTACAACGTGAAGGGAAAGGAAAGAGAGGCAGAACTGGAGCCAGCTGTCAAAGCAGCTAGGATCACGGAGGTGAAAGATGATGAGGATTTTCTTCGGCGGGTTCTCTGAGGTCTGGCCAGAGTTGCCATAGACATTGTAGTAGTACCTACTTGCTCTCGCATGTACCAGTATCAAGTTTTCTATACATTGCATCTACTGGTTCATCAAAACATGCGATCGATTTACCTGTTCACCTCAAACAGGGAGTAAGGGATGCCCAAACTGAGGCGCTCCTCGATTCAGGAGCATATTCTTGCTACATCAACCCACGGCTGGTTGATCAGTTGAGTCTCGCTACGATCTCACTTGAGAAGGAGATCAGGGTTTATAACGCAGACACATCCCACAACAAGGGTGGAACCATTTAGAAAAGGGTTCTTCTAAGTATAACTATTGAAAATCACACAAGCAGACAAAGCCTGCTGGTTACCGATATAGGCCATAAGGACATTATACTAGGCATGAGTTTCCTCAAGGAGCACAACCCAGAGGTAGATTGGGGAAAACTCACAGTCGACTTCACCCAGTGCCCACAAAGATGCACACCCTCACAGGTAGCAGTCCAGGAGGAGGACCTGGAAGACACAAACATCCCCCACATCGAAGACCTAATGGAGTTCGTCAGTTCTCAGGAGTTAGGTGACAACTGGAATGACATGGACAGCTTCATTAGATGGGTGTCATTATCAGAAGACCCTGATGCACAAGCCGTAGCATTGCTCATTATGGGTCTTGACACCAAGAGGAATCAGGATAGAGCACCGCAAAAAGGAGAACAGGACAAAGACTACTGGTCCGCCTATGTCCCTAAACACTTCCACGAGTATGGCGATGTGTTCTCCAAGAAGCAGTCAGAATGAATGCCCACAAGAAAGCCCTACGATCATCTAATCGAACTTGTTTCAGAGGCATCGTTACCACGCCCGGCAAAGTTATATCCTATGAACCTACAGGAAAGAAATTCACTCGACACGTGGATAGACCAAGAGTTGGCCAAAGGATACATCAAGAGATCAAGGAGTCCAACAGCAGCACCCATCTTCTTCATCAAAAAGAAAGACAGATCACTGAGGCTAGTACAAGACTACAGGAACCTCAATGCAGTTATGAAGAAGAACAAGTTTCTGATCCCATGCATCTCAGACCTCATTGACAGACTCTCCCATGCTAGTATATTCTCGAAGCTTGACCTGAGATGGGGGTTCAATAACATAAGGATTAGGGAAGGAGACGAAGAGAAAGCTGCCTTCATCACACATCGTGGCCTCCTCGAACCCACCGTAATGTACTTCAGTTTCTGCAATGCTCCCAGCACCTTCTAAACCATGATGAATACAGTCCTTATGAAGACTTAATTCGTACTGGAAAGGTGGTAGTCTACCTAGACGACATCCTCATTTTTACGGACGATCTCAAAGAACACCAACAACTAGTAAAAGCAGTTCTACAGCGCCTCCGGGACAATGACTTATATGCCAAACTGGAGAAATGCTTCTTTGAACAGTCCTCAATCGAATATCTTGGCATGATTATCAGCAAGAACTCAGTACAGATGGACCCTGCTAAGGTTGAAGATGTACTTGGCTGGCCCGCACCTACTAAGGTCAAACAAGTACAGGCCTTTTTAGGATTTGCGAATTTCTACAGGCGATTTATAAAGGACTTTGCTAAACTCACATGACCTTTAACACTTCTCACCTGTAAGGACGTGCCCTGGCAATGGAAAGAAGAGCAAGACCAAGCCTTCAGTGCACTCAAAATGGTGTTCACCTCAGCCCCGATCCTACAACTCCCCAACGACACTGCACCATATTGTCTGGAGACTGATTCTTCAGACTATGCAACTGGTGCAGTACTCGAACAATTAGGAGAAGACAAGCTATGGCATCCAGTCACATACTACTCAAGTCACTCAACAAACACGAAAGAAACTACGAGATTTACGACAAAGAGATGCTTGCAATCATTTGGGCACTAGAAGAATACCGGCACTATTTAGAAGGACACCCAGAACCCATTGAGATTTGGTCAGACCACCTCAACCTTACATACTTCTGCCAGGCACAGAAGTTATCCTGGCGCCAAGTGCGCTGGTCATTATTCCTCACACAATTCAATTTTGTACTCAGTCACTGACCTGGAAAGACAATGCTTCATGCTGATCCTCTGTCCAGGAGGCCAGATCATGAGAGGGGGGTAGACAGCGACAATTCGAATCAAATGCTGTTAAAACCTGAATTTTTCACTATCAATGCGATTCGACCCACTCACGCATCTGAAGTTGATGATGCTCAACTACTGGAAAGGATCAAGAAGGCACTCACAGATGACATGATGACCAAGGATTATTGTGCACTTTTGACTACAGGACAGCGCAAATTTGGGAAAAACCTCGCAGAATGGAACTTCGAGCATGGACTGCTGCTCCATCGTGGAAAGGTTTACGTCCTCAAAGATCAACAGCTATGCCTAGACCTAATAAAGCTCCATCATGACACCTTGCCAGCTGGACACCCAGGCAGGTTCAAAATGTTGGAGTTCATCACTCGGAATTATTGGTGGCCAGGAATGTCCATAATGGTTAAGCAATACGTGCAAGGTTGCGACAGTTGTCAATGCAACAAGTACTCAAGAGAAAAACCATACAGACTATTACAACCAAATGAGGTACTGGGAGGATCATGAAAAATCGTCACAGTCGATCTCATCACACAACTTCCCCCAGCCATGGACTTTAGGGGAGAAAAGAAGATGGCAATACTCGTCGTCATTGACAGACTCACGAAACGAGCACACTTTTACGGAACAGATGACACAGTCACTTCGTCGCAAGTCGCTAACATATTCTATAATGAAGTCTTCAAACTCCACGGACTGCCGCACCAGATTATCTCAGACAGAGGTACTCAATTTGCGAGCAAGCTATTCCAGAAGTTCTGCCAGAAGCTCAGTATAAAGTCAACAATGTCAACTGCATACCATCCCCAAACAGATGGTCAGACAGAAAGGGTTAACCAGGTGTTGGAACAGTACCTTCGCATGTACTGCAACCACAGACAAAATGATTGGGTCTATTATCTGCCAACAGCAGAATTTTCATACAACAACCAGACCCATGAATCCAGCGCACTTTCCCCCTTCTTTGTCGAATATGGCCGACACCCAAAAATGGCACCAGACGTACACGAATGAATACGTCATCCCTCATTGGAACATTTATTTGCCCACCGATCTGAGGCACAAGAACAGGCAAAGGCGGCATTGGAAGTTTCAGCCTCACGGATGAAATGGTACTTCAACGAGAAAAAGGGAGAAGTCCCATTCAAAGTTGGAGATCTAGTACTACTCAAAGGAAAGGACCTGTGAGTAAAAGTCAAGTCCGCGAAGCTAGGCACACAAAACTTCGGACCTTACAAAGTACTTCAGAAGCTAGGTCCAGTCACATTTAAACTGGAACTGCCTAAACAAATGAGGGTCCACCTGGTCTTCCATGCTAGCAAGTTGATCATGTATCATCAAGACACGGTCGCAAACTAAGCCTCCAGCTATAGAAATCGAAGGAGAACCAGAATTCGAAGTTGAGGAAATACTAGACTCGAAGGTCGTAAGGGGAAGGGTCCAATACCTCGTCAAATGGAAAGGCTATGACCATTCTGATGATACATGGCAACCCCAAACAAATCTTACCAACGCCGATGAGCTTCTTCAAGAATTCCACCAACAACACCCAGATGCAGCCAAAGCACCAATCAGGGTCGTCACTTTTGGTGAAAAATGCTTCAAATTATCCTCATATGAAGTTGCACCGATCTCCACACACAGAATCAATATGTCTGACCATCCGGATGAGTTCTTCCTATATCATAAAATGACAGACCTCACCAAATCACCAAAGAAATCCTCAAATGAAGCAGCAGGATGGGATATTTATGCAGCAGAAACACATGAAATCCCTCCGCATTCACGAGCTGTGGTAGATACAGGAGTCACCATAGACCCTTCCAAATATACCTATACATGAATAGCTCCATGCAGCGGACTGGCTGCAAGAGGAATTGACGTGGGAGCAGGAGTTGTTGACCCTGATTACACTGGAGAACTCAAGGTCGTACTGATTAACACAACAGATTTCATATTTTCGATAAAACCGGGAGACAGGATAGCTCAAATAATCTTCGAGTATTACGCTGAAGGGCTTCCCTCTCGAAGTTACCAACCGTTGTGAGCAACTAGAAGGGGAAACAAAGGTTTTGGCTCCTCGGGACAATGAGCCTTAAGAGGGGGTTAGTATCACAGATTTTCACCACAAAGTCTGCACGTGACTTTTCTCATGCCACAGATCACGTGCTTCATCAATATCTCACACCACTCAGCCACAGACGTGACGTGTAGAGATCAGGTGATAGTCCACATCACATGCTATGGTCCAGACCCATGGATGATATGGTTCAGACCTGTCTATTCCAGGATACAATAGAGGCACCCATTTGGGAACAAAGGGAACAAGGACTATTGTTATACATCAGACTCCCGCTTCCTATTAGTTTAGTCAGAAGCCAAGATAAGCACGATGTTCGCACGCGCTACTGCGGCAACCATCGATCTTCCCACTTATTGTTCTACTCCTGGACATTCCATTGTTTCATGTATGGCCATTAGCTTACACCCGTAGACAGGTAGCTTAGATAAGATAGCCCGCTGTACGTGTATATAAGACCAGCCATGTAGAGGACGAAACTTCAGATTGTTTCTCCTCGTCTACTACCGTAGCACTTACTGAGCCTAACCAGCTCCTACATATATCTCTCACCCTCCACTATGCTTGCTTTATCAACAAGTAAGTCATAGGCTCTTGTGCCACTTGAGGATTCAGGGGAATCATTTGAGATCAGGGGGATCAGGACGGCACGTTCCACGTGACCGTTCCTTTTTAGTCTCTTTGTTCTCTCGTCCAGCGGTGCTGTGACAGTTATCTACTGCCACACATCAAGGCTATTTATATTTCACCGACAATGTGCGACCATTGCCTAAATCATCAAGCATCACCTATGCAATGCAGGAACACGCTC